TGCAATTAAGCAGTTTGAGCATTGTGTTCACAGCAGTTTCACAGCAGAATAATAATAAACAAATGATAAAGAATTCAGAGACTTTGCTTCAGTTGCTCAATCAGTTTTATTCAGGAGAAGGGGAGAAATTATTACTCAAGGAAAGAAAGAAAAAAATCAGAAAGCTTCTGTGTGAAGCCGCCCTCAGACAAATCAGTTCTCTGAACAACAATCCTTCATTTCCATCCAACACTTGCTTCAATTTGACTTTAAAACTGATTAGTTCAGATTCTAACTTACTTCAAATAAATAGATTTTCATTTTCTAGTCAAATTTGTTTTAAATCACAGCTGGTCAGTAACCACCAACACCCCGACTCTGTACTTACACACAGCCCACGCTGCAGACAAACCCCCCTCCACACTCACTCACACACACACATCAGGCATAATGAATATACAATATGTTACACAGTTACAGTATGTACACTGCCTCTTTCAATGTAAAGACAATAAATGCTTCCTCATTTCTATTTGTTTCAATCACGCGGAACATATTTAACAGTGAATCAGAAAGAGTGGGAAGTAACTTTTATCTGTAATAATTTCATCCTTTCATTTACAAGTCCCAGAAACACCACTAAAAGGTTTTTATTGTATATTTATATAACTATTTACCTCTTTGTCTAACCAATCCCAAAATCAAAAAACAAAACAATTCATTTTGTGGCACTTTTCAAGAGAAAAACCAAAAAGGGACAGAATGCTAAGAAGCGAGGGATTTTTGAGTTCAAGAATAAAGAAGTAAATCTAGTCAGAAACCACCTGTCAAAGTAATGTGAATTAGGTTAGAGGAATACGTATACGGCCCCCGTTCACCTTAAACTGATCTAATCTACACCCAAGATTTCTGTCGTGTTATCTTTAGTTATCAATATCAGATTGTTCTCTACCTTGAAATAAACTCACCAGAGGATCAAACACTTCAAGGCGTCCAAATGTAAGAGCATCTTAATCGTGCAAAGAAAACTGGCGCCTGTGTCAAGGTTTAAAAACAATAAGCTGCGATGGTGTCGTTCTTGGTTATTACTGTAGTTATAAAGGGAAAGAGATCTGATCTACATTTGTGAACTCTGGCATCTCATCTCTCTCTTAAAGCCAAACACTTGTCGTGTCGTCAGGTGAAAGAAAAAGTCAGTCCAGATGTTGGAGTCCTCCCTAATTCCTCATTTATTTAACACCACAAGGAGATTTACTCGAGTATCGATGGACAATGTAACTTCTCTACTTTGAGAAAGATGAAAAGTTAAATTTGTCAAATTCAGTTCGGTCCCATTCGTCTGGGAATAATGTCACGATGATCATCATGTTCTATTCCTGTTCACACACACCTTGGTCTCTCACATGCACGTGCTTTCACTTGGATGAATTTGCTTCTGCTGGAACCATCAGCATACACAGCGACGCATCATAGGATTCCTGCTTTTCTCAGCAGAGGCTCAATGGTAGAAACTGAGCTGACGGAGAAGCTTTGTACAGTTTTAGTGCAATCTTACTTATATAATCTTATACAGCTCAACACACAAAGAACAACAGACGCTGACACACACACACATAGACAGACACACACACACAGAGAGTCCAGTTATAAAGGATGTGCATTAATTCATCTTTGATGTGTAGAGATACGAGATAAACGTAACAGAAAAGAACAGGCTCTTTATCATTGTTAATTCATTTAGAAACCTAAAGACCCCATGAAACAGAAGATGAGGAAGAAAGAGGAAGAATAAATGAGTTATGAGATTTGAGTAATGGAAGTGTGGATTGAGATTGTAACTCTATACTTCCTGTAACTTCTTCAAATTCTGTACCTCAACATCATAACCTGAAGTAGAACGACTTGTAGACGACAGTTATGTAAAACACAGCAGTCGAGCTCTGTATCTGAAAGTCGTCCTTCTGTGTTTTTCCAGTAACAATGGAGAAAATAATGCCACAATAATTCTTCATGGGATCTTTAAATTTCCCCCTCTCAGAAAAAAAATATGACAATGAGTTTTCTCAGTCTCCAGAGATGTTTAACATCAACGCTACACAAATATATATTAACACATTGCACTGTATCAACATACCACTCGTTTTTCAGTGTCTGAGGGAAAAAGACAATGATAGAGGGGCAAACAAAAAGGTATTTTTAGGGACAGCATCATTCTGCAACACCTGCCTCTGTCTTCCTCAACCAGATCGTGTTAAGGCTCATTTATGCTCAACGTAAGATACGGAAACAGACTGAACTGTTTGTGCCTTCATTTCATCCTGAAAGCGTACAGATACATACGAAACAGGGGAAATCATAGAGGGCAGTGTGGCCAATAGTTCAAGTGAAAACATCGGGGGCACTGACGATTACATTATTTGAGATGAATGCATCCGTCAGCATGAATGGGCCTTAACACAGTAGCTTTTGATTTTGAAACAGCGCCTACACTTTAAAAGCTTTTATGTGCACTAAGATCTATTGTTGACTTTGCCTAAATCTCACTCAACCACCACACCTGACATCTCACATCATCGTGCTGCACCCTTCTCCTCCCTCTCTTCATGTTACACAAACATACAGGGAAATGTTCAGGCTGTTACATTCAAACGGGATGCTCTTTTTGGCTTTTGTACAGTGAATTGTGTAAAACTGAGTTTTGTAGTAAAGTTGCACAAACAGACGGCTAATTCACAACAGCTCTTTAAGTACTGTATCGCCGAGGGCACAGAGTACACCGCCCCTTTATTGCACTTATGTGTAAAGATGGGGGGACGAGAGAGGGGCTGGGGATTCAAAATTGCGGTACTGAGAGTAATCAGATTGCGTTTAGGAATACTGATCTCCTCCCTGGGAAGAGCATATTGAACAAAAAACAAAAACAAGCAAATAGAAAATACTTTCTTTTTAACCATGCACACAATCGTGCCAACACGCGGAACAAAGAGGGGGTGTTGTATTGTAACTGGGTCAGAGACATTCCTCTATCTGTGATCTGTTCTGTAAGGTGTCCCAAGTGTTTGTGAATATGATCTATTAGATATAAACATGGTAAACTGTGGTGTTTAATATTCCCCATACTTCAAGACATGTCCATTATCTCTCACACACACATTCACGCCTTTCTCATACCCACACCTCACACCACCAGGATCTTGACTTCATCCTGTTCGTCGGGCCGGTAGAAGAAGGGGATGCAGGGATTCTCCCCGAGGAAGGGGGGTGATCTTAGCGCCCCCTGGGGGTTCTGGATCTCCTGGAGCAGCTGCATGATCTGTTGCGCTGTGCCGTCCTCTTTGGGCCCCAGGGGCTTGGAGTCGGTCTGGGGTGCTCTGGTCGAAAGCGCCTGGGAGGAGAAGGCTTCCAGGCTTGTGGTGGGCTCTGACAGAGGAACGACCTCCATGGCTTCTGCAGAGGGAGAGCACAAATATGAAGCTGAATAATTATAATCTGGAGACCAGACTAACTCATGTTTATTCACTCTAGCTGCTCTCCCATTCAGAAAGATTGCAATCATTCCTGAAACTGGTAGAGCCAGTCACAATCTCAAACGGAGCAGGTTAGAGACGGTGACTAACAGAGGAATGCAGCAGCAACAATGATAAAAACAAATATCTCCCAGTGAAAAAGGCTTGACGCACATAGAAGACACCAACAAAGATGCAGGGAGAGTTTGTGGTGATAAGAGCTGACGACGGTGTCGGGGTGCTGTAAACGTGATCACGCGTCTGTACAGAAAATTCTTCGGATTTAACCCAGAGGCCATGTTTAAAATGGCTTAAATCTGAATCCCTCTCTTTGGCTGCAAAACGGAGAAGACTAAGAAAAGATGTCTCAGCTTTTTGGCTGCATGTGGCTTGAGAGGACACATTTAACCTCCCGACTCTCTCCTCTAAACACGAGATCAATGGAAAACAGTTTATTTACTGATGTAGGACAAAATGTCTGCAGTATGACAGAACATCATCCTGGCTGTGCCTACCTGCTCCACCGACGCCATTAATCTCCATGTCCGTGTGCCCATGATGCTCTGGATGAGCGTGATCTTCCCCAACAGGAAGAAGGTCGGGATTCACCGTGCTTGTGCCGGCTACAGCTCCAGCGTAGCGGCTATACCAGTCATTCCTTTCCGCCACCAATCTCATCACCAGATCCTGCAGCTCTGCCAGCTTCGCCTGGTGCACAGAAAAGACACGACGAACAGGAGAAAACAGGCAGTTTTGAGGAAATTTACAAACCTTCTATTGCACATGATTACTGTTGACAACACAACATGTTTATTTTATAATGTGAGAAAGAACAAGACTGCTTTCTTGCTATTTTCTTTTTTTCCAGTTTAATCGTCCATCAAAGTTATCGAACCTTTAATTGGGTTCATGACGTTCAAGTGCTGACTGCAAGAATAAAGGCAGATCAAACTTCTTATTTAACTTCAGTTTTTGAGATGAAAAAGAGAAAATGACCACATCAAGATCCGTCCCTCAGCATCCGTCCTTCCTTTTGTCTTTGAATGTTAGTCAGGAAGAAAACTGAGCAAAACATTTTTCAACACCAACATCGAGTGTGACTTCATTGTACTGCATTGATGATTATCTGAAAAGTTAATGTTAAAGCACCTTCATCTCCTCCTTGTCCTGGGCCAACATGCTGATGTAATGCTCCTTCTCCTGATGTTTCTGCTTCATGATGGCTCGCTGATTCTGGTACAGGGCTATGTACTCCCCTTAAGAGACATACAGAGAACGTCATTGCACTAACTTGTTTGGTGATGTAGAAAGTCCCTTTCTGAACCACTGTGCTGTCTTTCAGTCTCACCTATGGTGTCGGTCTCTCCAGACAACTGGATGCAGCGATGCTCCAACTCTTCCACCCGCTCCTTCAGGTCCACTTTCTCTTGCATAAGGGACGTGAAACGCTGCTGAAGCTTCTCCATGGCAACCTGCAGGGCCTGATGAACTTCAACTGGAACTCCTCCTTCTAAGCCGGGGACAGCACAGAGCAGGCATTATAATAATATACTGTATCTATATAACCAGAAATCATTAGACTTGCACACAGACCAACCATGTAGTCTTCCTCACCTGCATGCTCGTGACTGTGTTCACAGTGACTATGTTGGCTATGAGTGTGATCGTGCTCATGATTATGGTCATGAGCAGTTTCGTGGCTGTGGTGTTGGTGTTCAAGGCTGAGGGCCACAGCGGCCTGGTGCCGGGCTGCCATGTGGAGCCTGTGCTCCTCTTCCAGTTGCCTCCTGGCCTCATCCCTCTCTGCCTCCAACTGAGTCAGAGCTCCATGAATAAACTCCTCCTGCAGGTGGACAGGAAGTGGACATGAGGACAGTGGGAGGAAGAAAACGTTCGTCTCGTTCAACTTAATATTCTTTATATATACACCAATCATCCTTTGAGGGTCACGGGAGGAAGCTGGAGGCATTCCCAGCTGACATTGGGCGAGAGGCAGGAACAACATACAGAGACAAATATGTTTGGACTTTGGGAGGAAGCCGGAGTACCAGGAGAAAATCCACACAGACACAGGAACAACATGCAAACTCTGCACAGAGACCCCTGGCTGGGACCAATAAATCCTTAAAGTATATTTGCATAACATAAATATTCATCACCCTCCTTACCATCTCTTTCTGGCTATCAAAGTCTTCTGGGATAACTATGGAGGAGGACATCTTTGGACTCTCTTGCAGGGACTGGCTTTCCACTCCATCACCTTAATGACATAATGACAAATTACAGCTGGATAGATATTGTTTCCCATTTCTTAAACATGTGATTCCAACCTTTTAATAGGAGATTGCAGTGATTATTTCTGTCCATAACTGTAGCTAGAGAACAGGTTAAAAACTGCTGTTTTTTTTAGTTTCCTATCAAATGCTTCAACTAATTTGTCCTGGCTGTTTCATAATGGAAAACAATGTATACACTTTTCACATGAAAAGATCTCGCACTAAAGAAAAAAAAAAAGACCTTGTACTGCTGGTCCTGCAGATGTATAGTAGAAGGTGTCGGGTGCTTTACAGCAATGACACTGTGTCCTTGTTATTTGTGAAAGACAGATTTTAATTTTTTGTTTCTTTTCTTTCACATTAGACGATGAAACCAGAGTGCTACTATGTTGTTGAAAATTCAGGTCATGAATCATTACCACATGAATCCTGTGAAGGTAACGTTTTGGCACTGAATTTCAAATGGAAGCCATACAAAGAATTATAATGGGAAAAAGTTTTGACAATGCCAAAAAGATAATTCTTACCTTGGTCTCGAGATGATGCAAGAGCTGAGCCGTTGAGAAGTTCCTTCACTTCAGACTTCAGCTGCTCATTGTCTCTGACCAACTGCTCCAAATGATCCTGAAGGGGGAGACAGGGAGTCATTGAAACAATGAATGAACTGTTCATAAAAATGACAAAGAATTACCAGTGACAGAAACAGGGGTTTTACAGCACATTCAAATCAAGAAAATCAAGTTATGTTGGCTCTGAACTGATTATTTTCAATGCTGTGCCTCATGGCCTGAACTTAAACCATTTGAGAAGCCCTTTTCTATTATTGAGAGACTTATTATTCCTGAATCACACACCTGCGTTTCTTTGAGCTGACAGTGACTGATCTCCAGCTGCACACGGCCTTGGCTTTCATCGTGCTGCAGCCGGTCCATGAGCTGGCACTGGTGCAGATACTGTCGGTGGAGCTGTTCCCTCTCGGTGGCCACGGTCTGGTAGCCGGCACAGTACTGCTGCAGGTGAGCCACCAGCTGTTCCCTCTGCTCCATCAGACCCTGAGTCTCTTGACTTTTCAATTCCAGCTGGAGGCGGAGGAATGGAGATGGAGATTAGACCAAGAGGACAGAGACAATGACTATGTGGGCAAGGCATTGGTTTTAACTCTATGGACGTGGCAGAGAATGTGTATAGAAAAGACTAAACTAAACTAAACCATACCTGCTCCTTGACATTGTGCAGTCCCTCTTGCAGTTCACCCATCCTGCGAGCCAGCTCCTTTTTCACGTGTTGCTCTGACTGGATGGCTGTGGTCAGCTCCATGTTCTCATTAGTCTGTACAAGTAAAGACATTTTGGCTTGAAGGCAGAAGTATCCCAACCTCTGAGGTAACGCTTGTCTTGAACTTTCCAAATTTGTGTAACACTTTGTTGCAGAGGCCCAGATAAAAGTCATTAGAAAAGGACAGATGGACAGCAAGATTTACAGCTCACCAGTTTGACAAAACCGTTCTGAAGCTCAGCCAGCTGGTCCTTCAGTGTCCGGTTCTGGGTGAGAGCACGGCTAATAGTGGCCTTGTCTGACTGAACATCCTCCAACATGCGCCGACGGTCCTCTCCCTCCTGGGTTTGGCTTTCCACCTGCCGCTCCATCTCCCCCAGACGCGTCTCCTGCTCAGCACACATGCGGCTCAGCTGCTCGTTGTCCCTCAGCTGGGGGGAAATGTACAGTATATTTCTTTAAAACTTTTACGATACAGTATGTGGATCACATGAAATTCGTTTATAGATCTCGATTTTTAGGAATGAAGAAAACAAGGATGTGCATACCTGTGCCTGATACTGTGCAGCCAGTGCTTGTTTCTCTTGTTGTAGTCTGTCGAGGCTCTCTTGCAGAGCCAACTCACTCTCTGACGGTCCCGAGGACGGAGTCTCTGCATTACCCTGAAGCTCTCTCTCTTTAGACAGTAGCGCTGGAGGAAAAGAAGGATGGAGGTTCTCAAAATTAGTAATTTCGCTACAGTGAAACAAACGTCACTATGGTAGCTGTGCCATCTGCAAGTTGCCAGGTTTTAGACTGTTACAGCTTTCAAACTTGTGCTAAATGACACATTATCATACAAAAACCGAATGTCTGAAAATAAGTATAATCTAGCACTGTGGAGGGACAAAGACTGGAGCATACTGATTGATTTATAGCATCAAAGAAACTCTATTCACTTTTATCAAGTCTCCTTTATGTAACAGGCTCCTCGTTCAGGTGCAGGTTTCTCAAAGATTTACAGAGAACCAATTCTATTAATCCTGCCGTTGAATGAAAAGTGTTGAGGAGACAGAAGCAGTAGATGAGTGAGTGAAACTGATACCTGCAGCATTTTGTAGCTCTATGATGCTGGCCTCCAACTCTTGGACTCGGTTGATGTTTCTGTCCCTCTCCTCTGCAACCAATGACACCTGCAAAGACAGTGACACACATTAATAAGTCTTTTGTTAGCTTCAAAAATAAAGACCATTAAAGAACATAGCAGTCTCTGTTTTTTCAAAACTACAGCCAACAAGTTAGTGTTAACCTGGGTTAGTAGTTGTTCTGTTTTGTCCTTCCATACACGGCCCTCTTCCTGGATCTGCTCTGCATAACAGTCCCTCTCTGTCTTCAGTTGACCGATCGACTCCATCAGCTACAACAGACATAAAAGAGGAAACTAGGTAAACAAAACAGACTTCCTGTTTGTAAAAGATAAGCAGGCAAAGGTTCAGACACAAATTTCATAATAGTTGTGGGTGGTTTATTTTCAGATGATAAAAAATGGCAGTTTGTAACCATAATGTAGCAAGTAATTAAAATTGGAAAGCAAGACATAAAGCTCGAGGAGAAGAAAACAGTAGTAGTTTGATTCCCTGATGCTTTACTATGACAGTTAGCATGGCACCTTAGCACAAAGCCTGGATATGTTTTGTGTCCAGGAGGAGTGGCTTGTTGTATGATGACCAATCACACGATCATGCCAACACCAAATGTCAGGCGAGCATAACATTGAGTGTTAAAGCAACATGAATGTATGAGTGCTCAGTAAGAGAAAGGTCTTTGCACACAGACCTGGTGATTTTGAGTCTCCAGCTGCTGTTTCTCATCCAGCAGTAACTGCACCTGCTGGTTGGCACTGCTTGGATCTGACTGACTGGAGAACTGGAGAGAAATAAAAAGGATAAACACTGGAATTGAATGCAGGATTGAAACTATTCCCAAACCCTGTTTTGTTTTAATTTAACTATAAGAGAAAGAGATTTAGTGTGGGTTTGATGTAACACACCTGTTGCAGCATGAGGTCAGCAATCTCAAGCCTCTTGCGAAGATCTTCCACTTCCAGCCTCATCGCTCCATTCTCTTTTGACGTCAGTTTCAGATGCTCAGACAGCTCTGAGGTCTGCTGCTTCGACTCATCACTCACATTGCTGCAAATACAAACATATGCACAGATGGTTCATCATTTCTTACATATCAGATTCTAATAGGACCTCTATGTAGAATTTGATGGATTTTAATTGCCTTCTTTAAAATCAAAATCTTATCATATTATGTCTCTGTAAGAATTATCGGATAAATAGACTTACTTTACTCTAAACACCTCTAGTCTCAGGTTGTCTCTCTCCTTTTCAAGTTCTTTATTGTGCTGGGGACAAAAAGAAAAACATGTATTAAAAAACGACACTTGGACATGTAGACAAAAACATCTCCAATAATATTTATCACTGAAACAAAGGGCGTGGAAAGTGCTTCTGTATAACATTCATGTAGCTGATTGTGTTAGTTAAGCTGGTCTTATATGTGGCATCTGCATTACTCATATCAAAGTGAATTCTCTTTACAGGGAGTCTATTAACTGCAAACCTTTTCAAACTGTTTCTGCTGTGCTGAGACAGAAGAGAGCGTTCGCTCCAGCTCTGACACTCTCTGCTTTGTTGCCTGCAGACGGCTGTTCAACTCCTCTGCCTCACCTACACAGAGAGACACACACAAAAACTGTTAATTACCTGCTGAGGGGTCAATGTCTGGCTCAGATGAAAAATTCTCATTCAAGTGAATGCACCTGTTTTCTGCCGTGCAGCGTGTTGTGTGTATTGTAGTGCTGTTTGTAGCTCTGATTTCTCTGATACCAGTATTCCAATGGTCTGGATGTGAACCTAAGGAAAAGAAAGACAAACACAGAGCACAGTTCTGAGTCCAGCAAATGTCAACTGAAGTTCTTCATTAAAGCCCAACATAAAATTTACAAAAATTTGTTTGAAAAAGGGTTGGGTTTCCTTTTCTCTCTGTTACCTGTAATTGCTCCCGCATGGCTCCCTGCTCTTTGGAAAATCTCTGCTCAAATTCTTTTCGTTCCTGTAAAAAAAAAAGAAAAGGTTGAGGAATGACTGGGAAGGAAGTGAAAATTCAGTGGACTGGACAGGAATGAGGACAGGAATTAACAGACAATAATGTACTGGTTACCTTTTGTAGCTGATCTGTGAGCTCCTGAGATTGCTTTGCCTGCCAGATCAACAGGATATAAATTTATGTTTGGGAAACAACAACATTCATTCAGCATCCAAGCAGTGAAACACAATTCTATAAAACATGAGTAAAATTCTGGCAGCAAAGACCTCAGACAGGACAGGGATGAGGGATTGGCTTGTAGATCATTTGCGTTTTTAGTTATTGATATTTATATATTAGTTTATTGCTGTTAGTACGTTTATCCAACTATTTTTAATCAGGTTATTACAAATCTGCTCCTAAGATTTCAGTTCATGTCCTAAATGAGTTTATGTCAACCTAAGAGAAAGATAAATAAATAACATGAAAAACATGCATGACTTCATCCCATGAGGTTACTCAAGGTGATGAGCAGAATGCATACAATACATGCACTGATATGGCATTATATAGTGAAAGGGTTAGGTATGGCGTTACTCCGATCACGGAGCCGTGCAGGAAAATACACACACACAGCTGCTGCTTACCAGCTGGTCTAGCTGGGTATTGAGCTGCGAGTTTGTTAGACTGCTGGACTCCAGGGAGGCTGCCAGCTCCTGGTTCCGACTCTATCACGTGCACACATGCATCCGGGAAAGAATAAAAACAAAACAAAAAAAACAAGAGAGGGATAAAGTGCAGTGGCATAAGTCAAATAAATAACACATGGAAGGCGAAAAATTCAAATGTGAATCATTAACATGGAGGTAAACAATAGCTTTTTTACGAGTGGTGCAAAAATGTTTTTTTAATAATGAGTCGTGACAGATAACTTAAAGACATGATGGTTGTTAAAGCATTTAAAAATAGTGGAGCCTTAATAATGACCTATTTAACTAAATGTGGACATGATCCAAATGACCTCAGTTTGTCAGATAAAGTCTCTCTTAAGTTCTTTTTAATGGACCAAACTATGAGTGTGGTCAGTGAAATAACATTACATAGTGCAAGGGACAAGTTTCTATATCCCTCCTATAGCCAGCGAACAGAAAGATCACTTAACCCGTTACTGTGTATAAAGGACAAAACAGATTTACACACTGTCGTTAATTTTGGAAGCTCTTGGTAAGAACATGTGACATTCTCTGTGTAGTTAGGCTACAGCTAGCTGAACTTCATTTTGGTCATACTATGTTGATTTTGAGTTTAGTTTTACTTTATATTGAGGCAGAGTGTGATAAAAATGAACCTGTGCTTGAAAGAAGCTTTAAGATGAGTTATAACTGAAACAGAGGACAGCAGAAAATTCTGCCTCTTATCTCTGCTGCTGTAAATCCTACAGTATGGTGGGACTATTGTGTGACTTGACTGATTTCTACTGCGGGTTTCAAATCTCAGAGTAAGTCTTTAGTTCATTGAAATTTAGAGTTAGATGTCCATCTCACCTCCAGTTCTCTCTCATTGACAGCAGGTGCAGAATCTCCATTCACATATGCAGAAGATGACTGAAATGACACAGAGCCTCACGTTAATGACGTTAGAACCTACAGACATCCTAAAGTCCATAACTGTTAGTTTTCATTTATAACTTGTAAATATTCATGTTAAAAATGATACTTGTGTCTGAAAGACAAACAATCTTCAAAAACACACTTTCTGTTTTGCTGCTGACTTCAATAATCCGAAGTTCAGAGGAAATATTAAATCTGGCTCTGTGCTTCAATTGGTGCCGTCGGCGTACTTGAGGCCATTCAGACCAGCTGGCAAATTTGAAAATTCCCCTCGAGAATTGATGCAACACACCCTTGTTGCAAATGCACATAATATGACAAAGAAATGTGTGAGCAAGAGAATGAGAGATCGTACCTCAGAGACCAGGCCGTTCAGCTGCTGTGAGAGCTGCCGCAGGCTCTCTGTGGAAGACAGTGGTCTGCAGGACAACACACACAGAGACAGAATTAGAATTGCATTTAAGGTGCAATAATTCAAAACATCCATAAACCCATTGTTAAGTGTTTGGTAGAAAAAAAAAAGTCAGTATTTCTAGACTATAAATACAGTTACAACTAGTCAAAAACATAATGTAACATGGACAACATGCATAATTGTGTCGCTGTATTATTTGTTGTGAGTTTTTCCATGAAAAGATGTAAGGGTGTGAGTAGCAGTGAGGACTCAGGTACCCCACCTATTTTCTTCTGTTAAACTCTCATTGCCATTGGTATCAGGATAGTCCTACAGAGAGACAGATTGAAAAGATAAAAATGACATTGATATAATTTGAGAAAAATAATCTGTGTGATACATTAAGCACAAAAAAATCACCACAAAAAACAAAAGCTCGGATTGGATGAATTGATGTCATCAGGCTCTTATATTAGAGTCAATACAGCAAATGAGACCAGACTCATTAGAGTCATCTTGTTAAGGCTTATTATAGATGTGACAGTAGTAAGATGGGATCTGAGAGGAAAAGACAGAGACAAAATGACTTGATGTGAGAGACACACCTGCAGGTCAGCGTTGTGACCGACAAACTCAGGGTTATTAGTAGTGTTAGGCACAGCAGCGTTAGACTCAGGTGGGCCACGGCCAGGCTCGCCCCCTGGGTCCTCCAGCAGCTGAGGAACTGAAGACCCCATGGGCTCCACGTCAGCAAAGCTCTGAGGTGACACATAAAACAGAAAAAATGCACACACTGGTTTCATGCCAGGAAAAAGAGAAAGACAATAATGAGGATGAAGGCGTGTACATTCATGCAGGGAAATAAGTTAATTACTGTACTGACTTGGTTTTAAGGTTCAGTGTGTAAGATTTGGGTGAAAGGGATTTATTGGCAGAAATTGAATATAAAATAACCGTAGTTATGTTTCCACTTTTGTGTTTCATTTAAATTGTAGTTTTATTTACCCCCTTTATATTTAAATACGTTATATTTACATTGGGAGAGGGTCTTCTCTACAGAGGCCCCCATGTTTTTTTTACAGTAGTCCAGACTGGACACACTAAATACCTTTTGAGTTTTTATGACAAGGGTTTTTGAACTGAAACATGCAACTTCACCACTAAATTCTATGCACTGAAACTTTAAGGTGCCAGTTTGATTAGGTCAGTTGTGTCATTTACTTAATGAAATGATTGCATGATAGTCCACAAACTGAGAGGACATTATCCTACAAGTAGTGTTGGTATCTATTTTTGAGTTAACTAGCTAATAGAGAATGGGAAGCTGATGCTGCCCAAGTTTTACCTATTGAGCTCGTTCAAAAACAGACTATACATAACAAATCTTTGTGTTACTTTGACTTTTGTAGCAAAAGTTATGAGTGCATAGAAATAAGGCAAAGAAAACCAGCAGCAAACACAAAAGCAGCCATGAAAACTGTTCAAATGAAAAGACAGTGTACACATTTCTGGTTTTCCAAGATACATGCCTGCATCATTCACCCAGAAGCAGATAACACAGCCATACTGAGACTGTTGCTAGCTATTGTGCATATCTCGCCCATCTTCAATGTACTTCTACATTCAAATATGAACTCCAAGTGATCACCGACAATACCTCAATAACACATCCTCCACGTTTCTTTACCTTTATTGCACTCTTGACAAGCATTTAAAAAGCACAGCACCAATGCAAAAACTCACACTCAAATTCGTCACCATGCTTAATGAGACATAGAATAAGTGCACTTCACGTAAAAGGAAGGTAAGAATGGGGAAGCGAGGTGCAATATTAAATACCACATAAGGAGCAGGTATTTACAGCAGAGGGATGCAGAGGCAGATAAAACAAGCAGGGAGGAAACAAAGAAGAGAGAGAGAGAGAGACAGAGAAATACAGTCTCACCTGACTGTTGCCATAAAGAGGTAGGGCTACTCCATTGCTTTGACTAAATACTTTCAGAATACTGTCAAACTACAGGAAAGAAGAAACAAAGGTGGAAAGTGAAAAATTGGCAAAAGAGGAGGGAACTATTTAGAAAGTGATTTAAGACACGGGAAGGCACAGAAAAGCAGCTGCTACACGAAAGAGGAGGTCCAGAAGAGAGGAGGGAGTGTGATGAGGAGAAACTGGGGCTGCTCCAAGAAGTCGACAAATAACAGCTGCATTTTATCGCAGTTCAATTCAAAAGAAAAAAGTCTAATGTAAACACTTAAATCACAATAAGAGCTCTGGGACAGTGCATCTTTTCCCAAATGTTTTCTTAGTGGAGAAGTATTATCCCAACTACAAATCTCTTGCTTCTCATTAATATGTTCCACAAACTAACAGGGCCAGATTTCAGTTAGAAAACGACTGACTGACTGAAATGGTCTGTGGAAAACTGACCTACTGTGTTTGAAAGTGCTGGAGTCACATGCCTCACTGTGTGTCCTCACTCAGCCAGTGGTTTTCAAAAATCACCAGCCCAAACAACCATTGGCCCTGTTACTACCTGGTACTTTTAACATATTAAAGACAACTGAGTGATCAATCACTGCTTCCAAAATGATGCTTTTAATTATTTGACCATTATCAAACATTAAATGTATATTTTTATGTGTTAGTGATTATAACAAAGATATATATATTCTTCAGGTAGCTTTTGCTGCACAAGACTTACCTCACAAAATCAAAACAAATTCCCCCACATTCTTCCTTTGCATTATAACTTGACAATGGCAACTGTTATGGTCCAAGAATAAACAATCGGTTTCTTGCCAAGAGTCCTAGTCTTTTTGGATTAAACATTATTTTCACTCCATCCCCTGGCCAGCAAATTAGATGTTAATACTGCTACAGTGTTGTCAGTACTATGGTAGTATACTACAGTATAGTATTTCAACCAAATCAGTTCACAACCGGCAACATTTTATATCAATGGCCGAGAAGACCATTATGAATCATTTGGGTTAAAGTAAACAAATTATAAATATGATCAACTATTCTGCATTTGTGTATCTATCAGACTAGAATCACTGACAATTGAAGGAATACAGTTTGTATGTGCAAGACATAATATGTACTAATCCTTTGCCTGTCTTTTGTAAACAGCAAACAAAAGACTGAGTTTAACATGTTCACACTGGGTTTGACAAATAAGAGATAACCAGGACACAGACAGGCTGTAAAGCACAAAGAGAGGTTGTTATTTGACCCAGAAGGTCAGAATGACAAGCAAATGATGAAGGAAGGACTTACGTTGATTGGAGAGTTTCTATCTGTTGTGGGTGCATCGTACTGGTTCAGTCCCTTCCCCTTCCTCTTCTTCTTGGCCCCTGCTCCGCCGCCACCTCCTCCACCCTTCTCTCCTCCTCCACTAGCAGGGGAGCTCTTCTGCTGAAACTCCTTCAGCTGAGCAGCACATGAGAGGGGGAAACAATGATAGTGTTAACAGGAATGCACCAAGTACTTCTTGACCGACACCAAGAAAAATCCCCAGTTTGCTGATTTATAAAAGCCATATTTTTTTCCTTTAATTATTCAACTCTGTGGATGTTCTTCCAAATGTTCAGCCTAACAGACATACATTCATCTCTGATCACTGTCGGGGCTTGTCAAGATAAATGAATGGGGATATCTCTAACAATACACCAGCAACACAACAGATCCGGTTTTATTTGTTGACTGGAATGCACAACCACGGCCAGCAAGTTATTGAGTGTCACTGTGAAGACTTTGTTCACTGGTTTAATGTTCTAAACCAAACAGGATGGAGTTGGTATCTGTGTAGCAAAGTGTGATCTCTATTTGCAGTTGGCCCATGTGACATCTGAAACATACTTTCTCGTGCCTGAGTGGGTTTGGCCCCTGTGCTTTGGCCATGAGGCCTGTGTGTGACAGCTGTCGGTGGGTACCACAGGGAATCACAGGGGGGAAACAATTGGCGCTGCGGTTTGTAAAGCACTTTAGATTGAATCGCAGCAAAACGTCAGGTTCAATCACCACGACCACTCAGTCAGGACGATTGTAGGCCAGACTGCTGACGAGACATTCCCCGAAGCTAACATTTCACAGCAGATAAGGCCATCTTTGAGACTAGCCTCACAGCACACCTAGCTAAAGCTCACAGCGGGACAGGGAAGAGGGGTGTCAGCTGTCAAAACAGTCCCCGTCATCCTATCCGGCTAACTGTGCTACAAGGCTAACACCAGCATTTACTGAAATAATATGTTTGGTAGCTGCTTACTTTGATAACTGAGCCCTGCTGTGAAACAAGACAGAAGGCTACACGTCTGCTGAGTCTTTACACTCACACATCACCAACTGATAGTTAGCCAAGTTGCTAACCAGCCTGAGTTAGCACGCCAAGGTTTGCTAATAACTACATTTTACGTTAGTTATAAACATACCAATATGCAACGGGAGTAAGACGACTCAATCACTGGCTAGACAAACAACGTGGGATGCTGCAAATGCCTCCGCGAACTAAAAATAGTCCTCATAATCTGGGAAAGTCCATGCTACAAGCTGAGGCCCAAAAGAAGCACCGGTCTCTGTTGCGCATTGCAAGCCCGGGGGGAGGGAGGCTGGGAGGGAGAAGCGACCGCGCAGAGGTCGGACGACGTGTAATGACAACACCCCTGCACCGGGAGTAGATTGGTGACAAAACGGAATAAAAACACACCAGCACCACAACCCTGCAAACCACAGCGGAACCGTAAGCACTGAACCGGTCCAGTTGTAAATGACTTTTACCTTTTTCTTGGCTGCAGCGAGTTTGATTTGCCTGCTCTGGTCGGCCATCCTGCTGCTCTGCTCCACCGACCCAACCACGTCATCAGTCCGGTGCCTGCTGGGGCCTCTGCCGGTGGGGGGCGCAGGAGAGGGCGTGATCCGCAGATAAATAAACGAAGTCATTTGTTCAGGAAAATATAATAATGTCTTCAGCCAATCTAATCAAGAACGAGGAAGCACGAAGAAATTTGTCTTATTATATTTTCTACTCAAAATGTATATTTCTTTCTTTTTTAATTTTGCGTTCATGTGTATGTGTGCAGTGCAGAACTAGTAAAGAATGAAACGATCTGTGATTAGTTGTATTATAAAAAACACAATATTATGTTCTGAAAAAATATTGACATATTTATATTTATATATATGTGTGTGTGTATATAATACTTTACTTTAATTTTATTTGTATATTACATTTTATTTTTATTTAGTATATTGTAATATATAGTATATTTTTATGTTTTTGTAATATTTTTGAGCATGGCTAGAAGGGAGTCTGTGACACAAGAATTTGATTGTAAGCAGCTGCAGTAATTGTTGTGCACATGATAAATAAAGTTGTGAATCTTGAATATATATATATGTCAATAAATATGTCACTATTTTTTTTGAACATAATATTGTGGTCGTTGGTTGTAGAATATACTGTATATAGTAACACACATATACTGTATGTCAAAGATATAAATCTATTAAAACTCTTCATATCTGTCCATGAAAACCTGCCAGAAGAGATTTTTAACTACAACAAAAGGAAGGCAATAGTAAAGCAGCCCGGTCTTGTGGGACTTAATGTTGTCATTCATGCTGAGGACTCAGACATTTCTGCATTTGATAATTTCCTGAAACTTTCATTCAGCTGTGTCATAACTCCTCCTACGAGGAAAAACTGAAAGAGAAAAATCAAAGAGTGCAAACTTTATTTGCATATTCAGCTCAACTGCGGAAGAAGAAACATATCTGAGCAAGAAAGAAAGTTCCAGTTTCAGCCATTAAATAATAGCATAAAAATACAGATATGGTTGTGTTGAAGCTGTTCAGTCCTCCCTCAATGATGACTCATTCTTAAAGCTAAATAATTTATATATCAAAACTGTTACTAAAATTCTAACCTCTGAAACTTAAGCTATGGAGGAGAGAGGCACAGGTCCTCAACTACAGACCCAGCTGAAATGGGTATACCCTCTTTCTTCTTTAAACCTCATCAAAAATGTATTTTTCTCACCATTTGGTCTGCTCCTATGCACAAGAGGGGAAATTGAAGTCACTTGTAGTATCAGAGGCTAGCAGATTTGTATTTGGAAAACATTCATATCTGTAAGCCAGGGACACAGCAATGGTTCAGTGACCTCCAAGAAAGAGCACCATGAAAAAAAAGAATAAATGTAGCCTTGTTTTTAGGAAAAAGATGTGTTGGCCTAATATTATTTCACGAAATTTCCTTTTAAGGGACAAGTGGTCTTCCTTATCACCCTGCTTTGCTGCAGAATTGAGGCCCTGAAATAAATCTCAACAATTTCAGGAATTTTCTAGAAAGGACTATTCTAGAAACATCCTTAAACAACCAAACACAGTGGTTTTGGCTTTAATTTACAGTCACACATTTGAGCAATGTAAGTCTGCACATTTCAAGGGGATCGTATAGACTGTGTGATGCGGCGCTGGCAAACGTTTGGCTAACCTTGACCCATTCTGACTTTTTGAGATAGGAGACCATATGGCAGAACGCAGTGCATTGTAGGTGACATGTTTGATGTGTTATGTAACCTGTAACCTGCTTATGTGCAAAATGTGCAAACATATTTCAGTTTATGTGAAATCTATATGTGATCACTGGCTGGAGAGTGTTTGAGTGAAACTCTATTTGTCAAACTGTCGCTGATGAAACGTCCAGTCAATCCAGTTCAACTGATGCATTCTGCTTTTAGTCACACGTACATTACACATGGTTAATGCATTTCTCATTGCAGTGAGTCATCATTAATACTCGTGAAACCAACACAGGTCGAAACGACATTAGCGTGAGAATGCGTGTCTGCCTCTTAGATGTGCGAATCCTAATTTCATTTTCACAAAAAGAATAAAGAAAGCAGCAGTAACTTCTGATCTGTGAAGTACAGACATTCAGCCATGCCCGGTCAGTTGAATGGCGTGTCGCTGCACCAACCTACTTCCTGGAGCTGGCCTGACAGACAGCCAATCAGCTTAGGCGACGGTGGTGCAAAAGCGGTGACGTCGCCGCGACCTGACGTGCACCGAATCAGCGGCGGCCAGCGTACCGGGGAGAGCCAATCAGCGCCTTCCAACGAGCAGCCGCTCGGCCAATCGCGCGGCTCCACGACGGGGAAGAAGTGACGGCTTATAAATGGAGAGAGCGGCCGATCATAGAGCATCACTTCACAGAGAACAGAGTACAGACACACAGAGAGGAGAAGACACGCTTTGCAACGAGAGAACACACGTAGAGGCAGCGTCAGGGCCGAGGATTCACTCATAATACTGCGGTTCAAGTACGTATACTCTTGTTGTGAATATGACAATGCGGAAATGTAATATTTCATAATTTCTACAAGGCAGTTTCTTCACCACCACCAGGGCAGCTAAGCTAACATTTGAGCAGAGTGGTGTATTTAACCAAAGTGTATCTTGTATTTTTTATCCAGGATGTACAGTAACTATGACTGCAATGTTCCATTCATTAAGATAATATACTTTTAACAATACTTAATATTTACTCTCACATGCCTGCTAGACACTGTAACGTGGTTAGCTAGCTACCGGCGGATGGAGGAAAAATGTGCTAACAATCAATAGAAAGAGTGGGTGGTCCATTCAGTTTACTCATTTTCTTCCAAGGCTTAATATTTGACGTTTTGCGGGGATTCATTAGCCGAGGTCCCGGCCATCATAGGTCTGAAGCCCGGTGAATGACTCGGAGCATTAGCATAAGCGGTCGCGGGCGTGAACATGGGAGGCAGACAGCACACGTCACGTTAGCACGGCCACGTTTTTACATTGTTCTGCTTCTCTTCAGGTTTCTCTGTAGATCCGAGCCTTAAAAGAAGCGGAGATGAAGCTGCTGTGGGTCGTAATGCTGGTGACCGGCACTGTGTTTGCCGATGACGACGACAAGAAGGAGAATGTGGGGACCGTGGTTGGAATCGACCTGGGCACGACCTACTCATGGTGAGGAAAAGAGTGATCATGGCATGGTTGTTTTATTCTTTTAGAAATCAATGTAATAATACATGTTTGAAATGAGATACTCCTAGTCTCTGAAAATAGTGATCATGGCTGATTGTTTAATTAATTTTTTTTAGAAATCAATCTCATACTAGATGTTTTAAATGAAATATCGCTAATCTCTAAAATGTTTTCCTTTAGTGTCGGGGTGTTCAAGAATGGTCGCGTGGAGATCATTGCCAACGACCAGGGTAACCGCATCACCCCATCATACGTGGCCTTCACCAGTGAGGGCGAGCGTCTGATCGGTGATGCCGCTAAGAACCAGCTGACCTCTAACCCCGAGAACACGGTTTTCGATGCCAAGAGATTGATTGGACGCACTTGGGGTGACTCCACTGTGCAGCAGGACATCAAATACCTGCCCTTCAAGGTCAGTCTCTGCTCACTATAGTTATGGTTGTATGGTCAAAAGATCATCGGGTAATGGTTAAGTGACATACTTGGATATTAATGTTGATGGCTGTCTCTCTTTAGGTCACTGAGAAGAAGACCAAGCCCCATATCCAGGTTGACATTGGTGGTGGCCAGATGAAGTCATTTGCTCCTGAAGAGATCTCTGCCATGGTGCTGACTAAGATGAAGGAGACTGCTGAGGCTTACCTGGGCAAGAAGGTATGAAAAATGCTCAAAAAAATGCATCAAAGAACATTCCAGTCCTTAAATATATTGTATATTTGAGTCTTATTTTCTCCTTTTTTTTCGCCCTCAGGTCACACACGCTGTGGTCACTGTCCCTGCATACTTCAATGATGCCCAGCGTCAGGCTACTAAGGATGCTGGAACCATCGCTGGTCTGATCGTTATGAGAATCATCAATGAGCCGTAAGTCTCCAATGAAAATGATTTAATCACCTTTTCATTTAATGGGGTGAACATGTTTTCCTCTCTTGCTTATATTAAAAAACAACCATTACTGTTTCTTTTAGAACTGCTGCTGCCATTGCTTATGGTCTGGACAAGAGAGATGGCGAGAAGAACATTCTTGTGTTCGATCTGGGTGGCGGCACCTTCGATGTCTCCCTCCTGACCATCGACAATGGTGTGTTTGAAGTGGTGGCCACCAACGGTGACACTCACCTGGGAGGTGAGGACTTCGACCAGCGCGTCATGGAGCACTTCATCAAGCTGTACAAGAAGAAAACTGGCAAAGATGTGCGCAAAGACAACCGTGCTGTGCAGAAGCTGCGTCGTGAGGTTGAGAAGGCAAAGAGGGGGCTGTCCGCCCAGCACCAGGCCCGCATTGAGATCGAGTCCTTCTTTGAGGGAGAAGACTTCTCTGAGACTCTGACCCGTGCCAAGTTTGAAGAGCTGAACATGGTAATTCATTGTGTAACAGTTCAATTGTTTAAATGCAAAGACTACACCACAACTTAAAACTATTAATATTTTTGATAAGCTTATTAATCATGTCTTCTGTTCTTCCAGGACCTGTTCCGTTCCACCATGAAGCCTGTGCAGAAGGTGCTGGAAGATTCCGACCTGAAGAAATCTGACATCGATGAGATTGTCCTGGTTGGAGGCTCCACCCGTATCCCCAAAATTCAGCAGCTGGTGAAGGAGTTCTTCAATGGCAAGGAGCCATCTAGGGGCATCAACCCTGATGAGGCTGTGGCATATGGAGCTGCTGTGCAGGCTGGAGTGCTCTCTGGAGAGGAGGACACTGGTAAGTCATTACCCTCATAATAGTTTTGCACTGAACTACACTTTCAAATTGTATCCAGTTTATTAAATGTTGTCCTCTCTTGCAGGTGATGTGGTTCTTCTGGATGTGTGCCCACTGACTCTTGGTATTGAGACAGTTGGAGGAGTCATGACCAAACTGATCCCCAGGAACACTGTGGTGCCCACCAAGAAATCTCAGATCTTCTCTACAGCCTCTGATAACCAGCCCACTGTCACCATTAAGGTCTATGAAGGTAAGAATTGGACATTACACTGTAAAACAAATCTGAGTCATATTTGTATTTTCTTTGTATGCAGACAGAAAAACACTACCCAAGATTAATTATTGACTCTCTCTTCAGGTGAGCGTCCTCTGACAAAAGACAACCATCTGCTGGGAACCTTCGACCTGACAGGCATCCCTCCTGCCCCTCGTGGCGTACCACAGATTGAAGTCACTTTTGAAATCGATGTCAACGGCATTCTGAGAGTCACCGCTGAAGACAAGGGCACAGGCAACAAGAACAAGATCACAATCACCAACGACCAGAACCGTCTGACACCTGAGGACATTGAGCGCATGGTGAACGATGCCGAGCGCTTTGCCGATGAGGACAAGAGGCTGAAGGAGAGGATCGATGCCCGCAACGAGCTGGAGAGCTACGCCTACTCTCTGAAGAACCAGATCGGCGACAAGGAGAAGCTTGGCGGCAAGCTGTCTGATGATGATAAGGAAGCCATCGAGAAGGCAGTGGAGGAGAAGATTGAGTGGATGGAGTCACACCAAGATGCTGAGCTGGAAGACTTCCAGGCCAAGAAGAAGGAGCTGGAGGAAGTGGTTCAACCCATTATCAGCAAGCTTTATGGCAGTGCGGGCGGACCCCCACCTGAGGGCGCTGAGAGCGAGCAAGATGAGAAAGATGAGTTATAGGCAGGTTTTGAAATCATCTGAGTCATCTCTCCTGTCGCCCCTTCCCTCTCTGGTAGTGGCATCTAGATGTGTATATATTGGACTGATGGGACTCAATTAGTGAGTGGAATGGTTGGGAAGGGGTGGCGATAACGAGCAACCATACTGAATCTTCAGAAAGACTTTTAAAAGGGTTTCAGTGTGCGAGAGGTGTTCTCTTCGCTGGAAGGCGGAGATATTCATCAGCCCAATATGAGGCTTGCTGCTGCTGTTCTCAGGCAGTCCTAATGGGGTACTCTTGTGGGGAGGGGCTTAGCGGGGTGGGCGGGCAGTTGTTTGTGGGTCCCTTGAGTAGAGTGTCTGTGGGATCAAAGGCTCATTGTGTTCACAGGCAATTATAAAAGTTATTTATTGAATCTGGTCATTGTACTTCGGGAAAGACATTGAAATAAATGTTTGATATATAAACTTTTTTGTCTCATGCATTCATTTATGATTTTTGGGTACAACACACATAATACTGACAGAAATTAATCACTGGCTCAAATAAATACAAATCCAGCTGTTTCAATTCCCCTGATTTATTTCAGTATTTGCTCAACAATGTTTACAGCATCAATATTTATACAAGGCTTAGAAACACATTGACCATATCACAATGGAATCAAAACATTTTATTACAACTTGAGTATATGAATATTACAAACATCAGGTCACAACAGTCACAATACAGTCATTATGTATGACACCTGTTGTGTCCATCCCTCCAAACACAAAGGCCAGATGTATCGTCTCTGTGGCAGCAGGGCTGTTGACCTGCTCTTCTTCATGCACCTTCCAGGGCAACAAACACATGGAATGGTCCAAGCGGTTGGGTGGCATATCTCCTTTGAATGTCATTAGGAACCATCTAGCTTTTTCTGCAAGCAGACAATATTATATCATAAGTGTGGAAATAGTTTTTTGTTGAACTACACTGCTTCCTTTATATAGGACATTTTAGATATAAGCAGAATATATGGAAGAAAATATAAAGTCTGTTAAAGGTAGGCTACCTGTGTTGAATCTGTACATGGAGTTACTGGCTCCTTCTGTAGTCATCCCTCCAAAGATGTAGATGTTCTTCCCCAGCACCACAGCTGAGTGGGCTGCAACTCCAGGTGGGATATCTCCTTTTGTCTGCACTTTCTCCCACTTCATACTCTCTTAAACAACAGACACACACTTGTTACTCATTTAGAACTATCCCAGCTCAAAGTTTTTACAGCATTTTCACCCTGCACTGTGATCATCATCTGAGATAAAGGCAGCTTAAAACTTAAATCCTCTGAAAATAATTGACGACAGATGAGTTCAGCCTTACCTGTGTGGAGAGAGTACATGTCATTGTGGAATTTTTCTCCAGCCATGCCTCCATGAATGTAGATCTTCGAACCCACTGCTACAATAATGTGGCCGTGTCTGGCGGGTGGGTGTCTGCCTTGTGTTTCTGGTTGGGACCAGGTGAAAGACACTAGAACACATTCACATTAAAGTTTAAAAATTAATTCCACTTCTCCTTTTTCTGGTATGGCAAAAAAAGTTTAGGTGAAAAATGCCTTATTGATTTTGCCTCGTGCATATCTTGTATTGATTAAAAAGATTTAAAGACTAGTTATACCTAATGAGTTTGGTAGAATTTTTGGGCCAAAACGCTGTTTGTCTTTTTTTCCCCTCAGTCATCCGTTTTAAAAAATATATAAAATCAAATCAAGTCAAATCAAATATAATCAAATTTACAGACTGCATGCTTTAACCTTACCAGGTGCCAAAATCACACCTGCATGGATCTAACAACGTGTAACGCACCCATGATCGTATCTATTTTCGTCACTAAACATTTGAGAAATAGTGTTTGCCATGTGACGTCTTCTGCATTTCTGCTTCTATAAAAACACTGAGGTTTCTCATATGAGCTCCTTAACTGTCACACATGGTTATTGAATTGAACAAACCATGTTGATTCAGACTGTTTGGTATTCTCAAGGTAATTTCAGTGAAAAAGTAATTTTACCTTGATGAAATAATAAGGGGCAGGAAAAGATTTCTGCATACTTGAGCAAAGTGAAGGTTGAAATAAAATGACTGTTGACCATTGGCAGTCAAAATGAAATTGAAGCTAAGTCTGCATCTTTTGTAGCTGCTTGTTACAACTGTATTAGACATCTGGTTTATTCAACACAAACCTGCATCAAAGACATGAAGTTTTTGGTCAGACACAGGGGAAGCTCCTGCTTCACCTCCAGAGAAGACATACAATGTGTCCCCGAGGCAGGCTGAGTTGGTGTGATATGTCCTCGGACTAGGGGGCGTCCCTTTTACTGATACGTCCTTCCAGTGAGCCCTACTGTCTGGATAAGTATACAAATGACAGAATGGATTGTTTTCTATTCACAGAAAGCAATGGCCCCACATGATAGAATCAACTTGTATGATGATTCCAAAGAAACAGTATTTGTTGCAGCACAGTGAAAAACCAAAATGACTTATGTATCACTGCCATACGACAAAGTCTGCAGGTTTTCACATCAGATGATTTCATATCAGCAATTCCACTGACCCGAGCCTAGATTATCTGTGAAATCTATCTGATCATAAACATATAACCAGCAACATAAATTTGGATTTACCTGCTAGCTGTAAATTCTGGATACAACTGCGATTGCCACTCTGCTGTGCACCCCCAAACACCCACAGGCTCTGTGGGCAGCTCTCTGGCACAAAGCTGCAGTGTTCATATCGTGCCTCCAAACCCTCCCACTCCGGAATGTCCCATTCATGATTATCTGGTGAGAGTCAGATACAACAAAATTATAAAGAAATAGCCTCTGATGTTATGAACAAATTCTCCAACGAAACACTATAAATGGACCTCCTCTCATTACACATACTCTAAATTACAGAGTTAGTGATGATTGTAATATCATGAAAAAATATACTGTTGTTAGCATGAGCATGAATGAAAGTTACCTGCAGTCAAAATAATGCAACTTGATTTAAAAACTGTATTTATCTATAACACCACATGGACACATTTTCATCAAAAATGGAGGGGAATATTACTTGGAAGGGTATCTCCAGATCATTAACAAAAATATGGTGTAAAACATTTTCAAAGTTATTGCCACATATAGGTAAAAGACAATGTAAATGTTTTTTACCTAGATTTATGAAATGTGAATGTGAGAAACTTCCACTGGGGTTGGCTCCTCCAACAATCAGGATTCTCCCTTTGTCTCCGTCTCCAGATGAAGTAAATGTGCAGGTGTGACCCACACCGACTCCTGGAGCGCTCCCCCTGGGCATCAGAGAATACCTGTTGACAACAACAACATTTTAGCAAAAGCACGGTAACATTTTACATTTCGCAAGATCACAAGTTGCTCGAAATGAATCTTGATTCACTTACCACATGTCTTGTTTGGGTTTATCTAGGGGCTCAAGCACTGGGAGAAACTCCATAGCTGCCAAACACATATGAATGAATTGTATTTCCGTTCTATCTTCAATGATCAATGCATTAAGTTTTCTGTGTTGATTCTGTGCAGAAAGAAACAGCTGATAGAAATCTAACCTTGGTCAAAATAATAGTTTACTTACTAAAGACTTTCAGAAGATGGTATGCACAGAAGCCCTTACGTGAAATGTAGCTCCAGTCGAAGCAACCATTGATTGATTCTAATAGTTGTTACTGTCTTAGTGCGTGTAGGTCGTCAGCCTTGTGTTTGAAATGCAGGTTGATAAAACGCCAGTGAACTGTAAACACACCATCAAGCTACTACAAGCTAACACTAGCATGACAGGAGCTTCCTCCACACTCACTTCCGGGTTCAAAGCGTAGAGACTAACAATCCGACATCAGAAATCGCTCTCAGTGAGCACCGATCTGTATTTAATGGCTGTTGTTTTTAGAAATAACGATGAATGAAACTGTAAACTTCTCTCGCCTCCCAGCCACAACACAGCTCTACGTAAAAAAGCTACGCAAAGTGGTGGGTCGACTGACAACGTCCGCAACCGTAGTTGCCATGGTTGCCTAAAGCGCATGCGCAGTACGCTCATCCTCACCGCCCGCAGCTTAATGTGACAATAAGCGGCCATTAAAGTTCCGTTATATTATTTATTATTTAAATCAGTAAAGTGAATGAATCGCGTGGTTAAACAATTTAATTCAATACCTTCTTCTTCTTCTTCTTCTTTTTCTTCTTCTTCTACTTCTTCGTCTTCTTCTTCTACTTCTTCCTCTTCTTCACTCCCATAAAAAGGTAGCTAAAGTGACAGCAGCGCCACTATGTTTTTTTTCCACGGGTAATTGGAGTCACAGAGTTTGTTAATGAGAAGAAGTAAACTTTGGAAAAAGGACATTTAGGAAATGATTATAGTTTTAAAGACGCTTCCAGGAAACCATTCACTTCCAGCTGGAGCAGAAGTGGCCTCTGCTGTTAGCTGAGTTTGTGACCTTTCTTCTCCAGGTAGCTGACATGTGGACCAAGATGGCAGCCACAGGTGTGTTGTCTTGTCTTGCTTTAATTCTATCCATTACCCAGACATGTGTTGAAACCCAGAGCTTTACGTCCCAGTCCACGTGTTGCTTTTTGTTAAGTTGAGCAGTTATATTTGATCAGGCGAAATGTTACCCCTGGTAGACCAATATAACCAAAAATACAAAATACATCTGAATATTCACACATTCAAACAGTCCTGAAGCAGACTTTTTTCTACTGTTTTGATATTATCAAAGAAAAATGTGTAAGTTTCAGACTCATTCTCCAGCTCCCCAAATTACAGATAAAAAAGTATTAATGCTTCAGATGAGATACTGTGGGAAGTCTGTTATAGTGTAAATGCGAGCGATGTCAGAATAGTGAAACAGCATTCACGATGAACCACTTGATATATTTTTAACTATATTTAACATCAACAAGTGGATGAACAGAACTGCAGCTGATGTGGTGGAGGAGCGACATCTTGTGGTTTTGTGTAGATTTGTCAGGAACTTTGTCTTAAACAAAATGAAAAGAAAACTGAAATATTGTATTAGTTTCATGATACATGTTAAATAGAAAATATAATATAAATTTTTTTAAATATTAATTTGCTTTGCGTTATCACTGTCATGAGATTGCACTTCAACATGTAGCCAGTAGGCTGCGCCATTGTATCTTTTCTGAAAATGTCAAGTTGTATGTACTTAAGTTTTCTGTTTGGGTTTTTTAAAATTTATATTATGCAGTATAGTCCTCAAGATCATTTATCAATTTATTTATATAGTATGAACAACGGATATAACTTTTGTCATTTTAGGATAAATGCAAAATGTATTCTCTAAAAAACAGCGCAAATGTATTTGACTTGCCTTCATTTAGGTTTGTTAAAGCCACTGGGCCTTAAAAGGTAAGAGAGAGAGAGAGAGACACAGAGATAGAGAACAAGAGCAGTGATGTGCCTTGAATCGGATTCATTTAAAAATGAGGGACGATAAAGATTTAATCTGAGATATACATTTAAAAAGTCACACACTGACGTGAATGCAAAGTGCCACAGTCAGCAGTGCTGCAGACACAGTCCCATTAGAAGCCAAGTTATCAGATTCTGAATTAATCTGTAGACATTGCCCTCACTGCTTATATTTTCTAAAAGAAAAAAAAAGGCCTTCTTCTTCTTGGAACATATAGAATGTGAAAAAAGCCAATTTGTCTTTCTGAGACTGTGGCTGTTTCAAGACAACTTGTACTAGAACTGTTTGTACCCACTGAAGCACATTGTACTGATGGCTGTGTTCATAAACACAAACATCCTGTATAAGAAGTTAAAAAAAATGTAGATCAGTAAGAAGTCCAGTATTTAAATGTTGTGCTGCGGGAATACAGATTTGATTCTAGACAATATATCTAAAAATGTTACTTAAACACAGGAAGTGAGTAAAACTTCCCACGTACACTGCTATGCTGAAGCAGTCGCTCATACCGACCTGTCAAATAAACAGGGCAAAAAGGAGACTGCAACAAGCCATTAACCCAAAAGAAATGTGAGGCTTTGTTATATTATAGACTTTGGAGATTTACAGCATTGCTGCAGAGCTGTCAGCAGCCCTGAGCCCTTCTGCAGCTTCATAACAACGTGTCATCCTGAAATGGATAACAGTTTCACAGGGTTGCTTTGAGGGAGTGTCCCAGTTAGCAGCCCAGCGGAGTTTGACTTGAATAAAAGTTCAAAAATAAGAAGTCAGTGTCCTTTCGTGAATGTGGTCGGTTTGCAACTAAGGATTATTTCATTTATTGATTATTTTTATGAATTTTTTAGCCAATATAATATCAGAAAAGAATCATCCTGTCAACAAGGAACCAAAGGTTGTGTCTTAAAATTATTTAATTTTGTCCGAAAACTGTCCAAAAAACCCCTAAGTTGTAAATTACAATGACGTAAAGCAAAATAAACTTTTAATTTGAGAATATTCATGCAGTGGAGTTTTTTCATGATGAATTAATTATTGACTATGACATTTAACATATTATTTCAGCCCTTTTATTATTTATTGCAAAGCCAGCTTCATCTGCAACTTTCTTTGCCTTTATTTTCCTTTTCCATAACGACACACCCTGAACCTTGCGGTGTTATTTCATAGACGTGCACAATGTGCCATTCACTGTATTGATTTAGCAGCCGTGCCCTCCATTCACTTTGCTCATGTGTCCCCTGTGGCAATCTGGACATCTCTCCACACGGCCCTCTCTCTTCTCTCTCCCCCAGTGAGGGAGATCACCTCCAGCCAGAACTGCATAGTCATGCCCCAATCTTCCGGCACAAATTGAAAATTCATCTGTTTGAAGAGCACGTTCCGCTCTCTCCTACATATCTCCTCCATCTTAATTAAGTCTCCCTTGCCTTTCCAGTTTCACCTGATATTGCACCTTCCTCACACTGCTCTGCCTTCGCACTAACTGTTACTTGCAATTCCTTATCATGCCTCAACCACACAGGAATATTTGTGCTTTTTATCGTCGGAGCTGTGTGGTTTTCGAACCACAACTTGTTTGTGATGGTGACCGAGGAGCCAAAGAAATTCTGCTGATCTCATTATACGTTGCAACCAAAGATGGACGATGTAGGGGCTCCCCAAAATTAAAGCCAAAGTGTCTCCATAGCCTCTGAAATCCTGTTGATTGCCACCAGGTGGCAGGCTGCAGTGTAGGTTAAAATACCCACTATTTGATATGTAGAGCTGATATGATTAGTTGATTTGTTGATCAGTCAGTAATCAAATGTTTCAACTACTTTGATATGTTTTAATGGTTGGGTCATTTTTTTCATGCAAAAATACCAAATACTTGATAGTTCCTGGATCCCAAATGTGGGACACTGCAACTTTCCCTTGTTCTACTCTATAGTAAATTGAAGTATAACTGCTATATGTTAAACACAGTCAACAAGTCAAACATTCTGCTCTGACCAAGCAGTGCCACCTTAGCATTATCTGCTCAGTTTCCCCTTCAGGGAAGCAGAGTAAGAGTTTCAGGGAAATCCTTTGTTTTCCCTTCACTTGTAACTGATAAGGACTAAATGAATCAGGGGATTTTCTGTGGAAAGATAGAATGAGAGGAAAAAGGCCTGTAATTATCACTTTTCAAAATCCTGAGGAAGGGACTACAGGCAGGAGAGAGAGATAACTGGAAATATACTTTTTGTCAGCCCAGAATAGTATCACTGAGCGCATGCTATTGTACAGTATACTGGCTGATTTGAATTTGGACATCGTGTGTTGTAGGTGGAAGGCTGCTAGTCATCTACCAGCCTTTTTTTCAATTTAAATACAGCTTGATTTGGGGGCCTTCTTAGTGTGTGGCAGTTTAGTAATCAGGATTAATATAGAAAGTTCATCTCTGGGTTAGTGGTACACTGCCAGTGGGCGACATGTCAAAACAATGTGCTCTAGCGATTGCCTTCGTGTCACATTTAACCTAGAGGTGTGTTAAGTCATGCTGTAAAGTAATCTAGATTACTGACACACAACCACAACACTGGCTTATTCCCATTGTTTGTACAATCCCCATTCACTGATGATTTAATCTGGGTTTAAAAACATGTTTATTTGGTCTTTTGTAATCATTGTCGTTTGCTCTATAAGCAGATGTGGACTGCGTTTGTTTATGTTGTTAAATCAACACTCACAGGATATTACTTCTGAAGTCTCTGTATATGTGTTGAATGAATGCAAATCCATTTGGGGGCTGCCAAGTGCTGTTGTAAATTTGTGCAATGAATGTCGCCCATATGGTCTTTGCACGACCCACCTCAAATGCAAAGCCATGTTTACCAGCAGCTCATTAGCAACAAGCCACAGACTGTATTTAAAAATGGATGACACGTCTCTACTTCCTCTCACTATTCAGAAAAGAAGCCAAATCATCCTGGATATGAATGCTGCCATCCTGAGGATTTCAGAGCCGGGTAATTGAGCAGCGGTGGCGAGTTTGTGCCAATGCACGTGCTCGAACAATTGTGAGTCACTTTCAGCTGTCAATCGAGATGTTTCGCCCCATTTTTATAAGAACTGCCTTAAATTGTATGACTTTTTAGTTTGGCCCCTGTCCTATCTGCTAACATGGAGGAGGTTGGATTTATGGACCTATTCTGCAGCTAGCCACCAGGTGGTGATCAAGACAGTTTGACTTCACAATTTCGGAGCAGTCTTGTCATCCATCTGTTTTTTTTTACAGGCAATGCAACCAGCGAATTAAATGAGTTGAATCAAATATTTAGCCAAACCCTGTACTACAGGCTCTTAGAAGTACTGTTGCAGTTTCATTTAATGATGATTCGATGATGTTTTCTGCTCAGTGGATAGAGGACTTAACTAAATAGACTAATCTTGCTGTATCAACGATACGAAGTATTGAAAAAACTTGAACTTGGACTTTTTCTGCATGTTGTGTACATGCACATTCAGTCTGTTCATACTTCTTTTGTGCAGATTGAAATAAGGGGAATTCCAGCAGTAATTGTGATCCGGGCTTGACTGGTGGAGCCGAAAGGATTCTTGAAAAACAAAATAGTTGAACCCTGTAGCTGTGGTAACAGGTCACATCCTGCTACTGGTTGAAGCATGAAGACAAGGTCGGGGGGGGGGGAAAGATTAAGATAAAGATTCATAGGCATTTCTAAAAAAAACAAAACATGGTTTATATTTTTAAAAACATGTTTAAAGTATATTTTTCAAAATGTCTTTTTGCTGCCTATCTTTGTCTTTAGCTGAATGCAAATATGTGCACACACCGACACACGTACACAGGCATCATGTTTCGTGTCTCCTCTCCTTTATAGATACTGGACCCATCTCTGCAGCAGCTCTCGACAAGATGACCTGCCTCAAAGTTTACCTGCGGAAGACCACTGCCAACTCCCCGCAGACATCGTCCTTCCTCCTCAGTACCCACGGTGAGGTAAAATTCTTATAGACCATAGTTTTAAGACCAAATCCACTTAGACTTCAGTTTAAGACTCTAATATGTGATAGTTTCAATTTGTTAAACTATAATAGCATCAACTAAAAGACTTCTGTGTGCCTGTCTAGCTGTATTTCTCTCTTTTTTAATCGGTCATGGTCACAGTACAGGAATGTGTTGTATAAAGCTTCGTGTCATGTAGGTCTGACAGACACTCGATCCTGCGGCGTGTCCAACATGAGACAGATATTACTCGCAGGTCCTTTGTTCTGGTAATGACGCTTCCCCTCCCTATCTGGTGACACCCTGAATCATTTATGTGGATTGTTGGGCAGACAGGGGGAGGGTGCACCTGTACTTGTTACTGTAACTCTAAAGTTCCATCCATTATCCAGAATTTACTTTTCCACAGAAGTGAATATGGACAAGGAATCTTCAGGAATGCATTCACACTTGTTGAGCTGGATTTTATGACCATTTTGTTGCATCAGGAGGAGGTTTAAAGAAAAGTTTTGACTATTTTAAAACCACAACCAATGATATCTCCACGTTTTTTTACGTTGGTTATTTCCTCCACAAATGAGGTTTTAAACAGGATATTATTATTGATGGGTCTTGATGAAAAATCAGGCATATTTAGGGACTGATATCAATGAGTTTGTGAAATGTGGTGCAGCTTGATTGAATTTCAGGGGGTTGTTACCCAGAGCACCCTAAGGACCTTTTAACTTCATTTGCTACACCCAGATCCGACCCACGTGGCCTCTTGGGTAAAAGTCCAAAATCTTCTTGGACACCCTTCCTACGCATATTGGCACTCGATCCGTACAGCATGCCTGACCTCTGCTGTCTTTAAATGTTACAGTTAGTTCTTGGAGACTCATCAAAATAAGAGATCACAAGCTTTCCTCTGTGGACCATTCAGAATGATTTGTGGCATCTCTCTGAGGTCCCATTTTAACGTGTCTCGCTCAGCATGTCTGAAATCAGGCGTGCCAGCGGAAACTATAAAGTTATTAGTCAGATCATTGGATTTCCAATAATATGTGATGTTGCTGTGCATGACCCTCCTACTTGAGCATGCATTGAGTTCCTTCTGACAGTGTGCCCTTTCAGAACTGGGTCAAACTTTGCCACGAGCCTGACTTCTTCCAGAAAGCGTCTATTGTTTGGCGGAGTGTGTCTGTGGTCTCCCTGAGGGAAAGAGTTTTCTATTGCCGAAGAATGAGTTACAGCAACCAACCTGGTCACGACCAAATGCTGTCACTTCCATTTATGGCTTATCTGAAGTAAAATCTTCCGTTCTACAAATTAAACCTCAAGTGTTTTCCAAGACACGATTTGTGTGGAGTAAAGAATTTAATGTCATTTTTAATTAGACTACACATGTGGAAGCCGAAGACTTCACTGATGTGGAGGTGTTCACAACGTTTGCCTCTTTAAACCATTAATCTTGTCAGATATTATCAGATTGCTGAGAATTAATAAAAAAATAAATTCATAAGCTTTTAGCTATTAATAGCTTGGAACCAAAAGTAATTTCTGCTGTTTGGTTGGAACAGTAAATGGCCCTTTTAGCTGCGAAGAAATGTAACATAACTTGACAAGTTTACACATATAACTCCTGACTGAGTGGTTTGAAACAGTTTCCTTCTTTGTTCTATTTTTGTGTCCTTTGCTACCTTGTGTTTGACAGTGATAAGAGTTAGTTACTGCATCAGTAGGTTTCAGGTAATTTATTGAGTCAGGCAGACAGAAAAGAAAAGACAAGAGGAAAGTTATGGATGAAGGATTAAAGGGGATAAAGTGATATTAATTTGAGATAAACCTTATTCCATAAATCATTTTGCTCATTGATCAGTGTAGTTATGAGGAAAATCAATGATTTCCTGACCAAAACAAAACTAGGTCTTAATTAATTTGCATTAGTCTGACTGATATTGATTTATGAGGCCAATACTGATATTCAGGATTAAAAAATGTCTAATATGATATATCAAAGGAAAGGGAAGTGAGTCTTGATATTTTACAGTTAATTCCATAAACCTTATTTTAACAGTAAATTAAAATAAGATAACCAAGTATTTAGAACTTTAATAAACCTTTTTTTAATGTAATGCACATATTTTAAGCATTTCTTTATTCTGCAAAATAACAGTTTTCACATATGTCCATACAGGCAAACATATATAAATGTAAGTCTATGCTCGTATTGCCTGATTTTTATCAGCCAACCGATAAATCAGTCAGACTCTAATTTGCAGTGAGAAACAGAGACTCTCCTATGGATCAATAGCTCCAGACTTAACATCTCAAGAGGCAGGATTTGATGTTATTCCAATTTATTGGGGAAAACTGAAAAAACTCAATGACAGGTTGGCAGTTCTAGTTCTTGAGTAACTGCAAAATAACAAATGGAGAGTGTGGTTTTCCAATTAAGGGTTTGTGAGTCTCTGAGATGGAAGTTTGTGCTTTTTTATTTCCACAGAATTTTTCAGAGAAGGATGGGTTTTAAACTGTAACAAGAAAACACATTTTTAAGGCTGATTTTCTTTAAAAAGCACCTCTGAGTGAAAATATCTTTCCAATGTATTTTTCTACATTGCCTTATTTACTAACTGCCAAATTATTCTGCCTCTTGAGTTACCCATACATAACAAATCACTGCTTCAAGTACTGCATATATAAGCATTTTCTTTGGAAAATACACATGCAGTCACTTTTTAAATCTTAAATATGTGTGTTTAGTATTATTTGTATTTTCATTCTTTTTTTCCCCCATGCATTGAAGATGTATCTTTTCCCCTTCCTGAGAATGTGTAAGCCTGCCAATGTAATTGAAAGTTTCATGTCATCATGATGAGGCCTTTTTTGAAATATGAAATATGTATTCTTCCACATAATTTCCCTCAGACCAGTCTCTGAAGCTATCAAATAATAATCTGCTGTCCTGACTGTCTCCTCCTGTGGATTTAATGTACACAATAAATTTCATCTGTACTCCCCTGATCAGATAATACAGCAAGAGCTCCATCCCAATGGTTTGGCAGCCAACACAGAAGAAAATCAGGTTTGGCAAGTTGTCTAACAAGCCTGTTAAAAGAAATTGAGCGAGGAAACGAGAGGACACCTTGCGTGTCTCTCATCAAATCTGCTCTTTGTTCTCTCCATTTGGATCAAACAGGATGAACTGGTGTCTGCCCCAGATGAAAACTTTAAATCCGTCACACAGCAGTTACCCAACTTCTTAAAGATGGCTCCCGTTCTCACAGGAAGTGTTAAAGAACACGGATTAACTCTGGTTTCTTTGCTTGCTCCTTTTCTTGCCGGTAATGGCGTATTTTAGCTGTCGCATAAAGACCAACAATGTACCCTGGCCTGGCCTTTTTGGATGCTGGTGGGGCAAAGGCTTTCAAATGTAAATGTGACAAATAGGCAGCAAAGCCTATTAAAGCAGAGAGTGAGAGTTTTGGAGAGTAATGAGGAAACCGGCACATGCACACAAAAACATATGACATAACCCTCAGCTTTAGGCTCCATCCATTCCACTACGATTTAATTTGAAAAGTTGTCAAACTTTTGAAACGATTTGTGTCCAGATGAACGCTTTGGCTCTGTGTCGCGTACACTGGGCCTACGCCTGTCGGTGAAAGCAAGAATTGCTCAAATAATCGCTCATCCCCTCCACACGTAAGCAGTTGTATCATTGTAAAATGCAAAATTTACCTGGGGTTACATTAATTCAGACTATTTATTCCATTTCTGAACAGAATGTGTTTGTTGGTTATCGCCCTGTGTTGTTATCAGCTTTGAATCAGGAGTGAAACCTCAGAGGTACAAGGCAGCATTGTGCAAGACGTCTTGAGTGACAGTGACAATGACAGGGCCAGTGTGGCAATGACAAAGTAGGGCAACATTTCAAAAGCATCCTTGTTTCACAGAACTTGGCAAAAGAATCATATTTTCTGATATGTCCTGATGTGGAAAACAGATATTCAAGTTTGTCTTAGATGTATGACTGGATCTGGATGTACTGTATCTGCTGGATGTTGTTTTTGCTTGTGCTGGTTTGTGTTATTGTCTGTGTGTGAAGTTTCCCCCTCACATTGGTCGCTACCTTGGTCACAGGATGTCACATGGACCTATACAAAATTCATGATAGATTAGTCCTGACTTGGCTGTAATCATGCCCTGTTATTGGACAGGCAACAGCACTTTGTGGCCTAATTGAACTGGCACATGAACAAGGACAGGCTCAGCAGGGGAGAGGTCAGATACAGAGTAAACTCACTGTCAGTATCAGTGTTAGTGTCTCACATCTTTTTTATTGTGTCTGACTCTGAGCTTTTTATCTGCCTCCTTCCCTAAATTCCCTTTTCCATATCGTATTAATAAAACATTACTTACTGTATCCTGCCAGCCTTGTATAACATCAGTCTTCTTTTTTTTTTCATGCAAAATTTCATTACACAAATGCCTCACAGTTTATCAGGTTGAGATGAAGGTATGTTAGGCAAGGCAGGGTTTAATGGCAGTTATATTCTGCGTCGATGAAGTTAAGTCTGAAGTGCACAGAGAGTGCTGCTGGGGGAAACACGAGCAAAGACTAAATAGAGTAGAAAAATAGGTCTGGCATACAAAGAAGGGATGAAACAAAAAGATGACTCACCTGCTCAACAGAGATAACCCCAGGAAAGAGCTAAATAGAAACAACAATGGGGAAATGCAATGAAGTTAGATACACAAGGACTCAAGAAAAGTTTAGTTTTTTAATTTCCACGTACCAAATGAAAGGTGTTAACGTTGTGAATAGCCTCGGCCTTTACAGCTCTGAGTCAATGTTAAACCCATACTCTACCCAAACCCAAAATTGAGTCTCTTTGTTCTTTGTCGTCAGAGCAATAAATATTTTCTTTAGCATTACAGTCGAGTTCAGCCTTTTTATTCTTTCCTGTCTAGTTTTCTGTCTTTCGGTGTAACCTGTGCTGCCTCTCCAAAGTGCTGAATACTTTTATTGTTGCGGGGACTCATTATTTTTTACTGCAGCTATAAAAAAAACCTCATTCTAAACCTTTTATTATTCTACATTACTTTAATTATAGCCTCTCTCTCTCACTCTCCTCCTCTTGGTAAAGATTGAAAGGTTGGCATCTCCAACACTGAGTGCTTGTTTCTTCACCTGGACAATTGTGGCATTTTAAAGTGTCTCCTGTTCCAAATCACGGCATTCTCACCAGCTCCAGGGCATCGCTGCTGCCCTGGGTGCGTTCAGTGCATTTCTGAAATAGGGGATTTAAGGTGTTGCAGCGAGAGGGAAGTGCATAATTGCTTAAAGTCTTCATGTAGCAGCTGAAAATCGAAGTCAAGTCAATTATATTCACAGTATATGGGCCAAAAATCACACATTTGCCTCAGAAATGCAGATTTGTTAAACTGTAGTAATTTAGCGCTTTTCAGAGTAAGAGTTTCTGGAACTTCAGAATCAGGAAACTGACTCCCAGGGTATTTAATTAAAGTGTTATAGAAATATTCGTAATGTGTTAGAGACAATGTGTTTAAATCTAGAAATACATTTTACCTTTTATATTGCCGCAGAGGACCACACTGAAACTCTTCATGATCCTCTGACGTCACGGTGACTTTGACACTTTGTCTGAAACACCTCACTGAAAATACAGATTTTCATGACAGGTGATGTTAATCTTACCTGGAGGATGGAGCCTTGAGACGTTGGTGATCCCTTGACTTTTCCTCCAGTGCCACTCGAAAACATTTCTGTGAAGGATGAATTTGTCATGCAATTTGGTACAGACATTACTACCCCCCTCAGGGTGAATTGTAATAAATGTACCATAACGTTTTCTATTTTCTTCCATCATCGGTTCATAATTTCAATTTGTTCAATACTTTAGTTTTATGATCAAATACCACCACCAAGCTGTCAGTCTCAACTCTACTAGCACGCTATATATAGATATAAGATAAACCCAGCAAACATTAGACATGCTATAATTCTTCAGCATGTCAGTGTTATGAGCATATTGAAGTTAGCATTTAGCCCATAGCTTTCTGTGCCAAGTATAGTCTCAGAGCTGCTAGCATAGCAATTAAGCACAAGAACATCTGTTCCCAGCCATTAACCGTGCATCCATAAGTGTGAGGTAGTGCAATTGTGTTTTCATCTGTGTATGGGCTGACCCACAGTCCTGTCTCGTCTGCCAGGCCCTATTAGTTCACTTCTACTCTCAGTCTAACCTCAGCATCCAAAATGTCCAGTCCATTTAAATCTATGTTCATTAACTAATGTTAGCTGACACATCACATAACATAAGAAATTTAGTTAAAAAGTCATTTCCTACATCTGAGCTGTTATTCCCTAATCAGTTGTGAGTGACAACAAGAGTACTGTTTACTCTTTCCTGGACTTNGGGGGGGGTTGGTCAAATCGGCTGTGATTGGCTGTGTGGCTATTCAATCGATCAAACTTGATCAATGGGTTGTCATGTATGAGTGGCTCTGTTTTGATTTGTCAATGACCTTCTCGTTTAAAAGCGTAGAGGGAGTGAAATCATGTTTCAGTATTGGCTCGGGGAGTCACAACATCCATGACACCCATGGGCGTGGTGACCTTGCAAACATGGACACTTTTTATCCATTTTAACAACTTAGGCTTCACATGCAGGGAATATAATTATTAAACTGCACCAATATAATTATTATATCTGTCTATATATTTATATCAGTCTCTCTCTCTCTCCCACTGCACTTTGTTCGACTACTTTTATATTTTATTTTATTGCCCATTTTTATTTTATTTTATTTTCTACTTTCACTTGCTCCTTTGTCTTTTTGACAATCTACTGCTGTAACGAGTGAATTCCCCCACGGGGTCAATAATGTTTATCTTATTTTATCTTCCAGTACTTTACTGCCTTGTTATTCTGTTGTAAAAATACTGCTATCTCAAAAATTCAAAACTAGAAAAAGAAAAAACACATCATGACATTTTCTCAGTCTCCCACCTCAAGGAGTTTAATTTAAATGGATTATAAATGTCTGTTTTTTCTGATCTCTCTCCCGCAGAAAAATGTAATAAAAAGCACAGTGTGTTAAATCTTTGTTTTCCAGCAGCCTTTGACTGAAAGTAGTCAATGTTTACTTGAGTAAATGTCCACTTTATACTGCAGCTTTCCTGAAACTCTTTTCTCCATCTGTGGTTACCATTTTTCTTTGGGTTTTGCTTATACTTGCTGTGTGATATAGATTGATTTTGGTACTCGTGAGACTGCTTTAAAACCACCTTTGTGTCAGGCAGGTTCAGACGCACCAGGAAGATATTTCAAACAGTGTTTTCACTTTGTTCTTCGACCTCAGCCAGCAGCACAAAAACCATGCCAAGTTCAGTGTGGGAACGACAAACATCCCTTGTACCCAAGCTCTGAAGTGCCAGCAGTGTTATCACACAACGAGGCTCCCACATTTTAGCTTTAGACGGTGCTCTTATGAGCAGGATTAATTAAAAATTGCACAAAGCCAAAGTTAACAGTGGCCATGTCAACATGGCTAACAAGTCTCCTAGAGCTGTGAGGAGACTTACAGGAAGGAGAGGGAGAGGGGGAAAAAGTGGCCGATGATAGACAGTACGCACACATACACAAGCATTAACTCAATAACAAGACGAGTAAGTAAACTAAAAACAGACTCAAAAAAAAAATATTCAAACTTGTCTTGACCGACTTTAAGAGAGGTAACACAATGTGACAGTGAAGCAGATCTTTGCAGGCACAACATGCTCCACACATAAATGCAACTGGGCCCTAAGGGCCTGCCAGTTCAATTTTTGAGGGTTCCAGGGAACAAGAACAAGAGTCCAGCAATTCAATGTGGCCAAGACATTGAGGAACTAAACCGAGCAAAGCATCTCCTGGCTGTAGTTTTATGTTCATGGTATTTGCAAGAAAGAAATTGAAAATATCAAACCTGCATTAGGGTTCGATTTTGTAGCATTGATACCTGTAATAACCTTTCTTTTCTATTGATTTGAACAGGTCAGCTGAAGCTGTCAATCGTCCAGGAACAGGAAGTCCTTGTTGTTAGTGGTGAGTCACGTTAAGGGCTGCTCGTACAGTGACACAATACAATTATTTTTCTTTATTGATTGGGAAACTTGTGTGTGGAAGTGAAAGGGAGAGGCTAGGACACAGTGGGTGTCTACTTGGGGCTAGTAACATATTGAAAAAAGAAAAGAAAATCTAAAACATTAAAAAAGAAACAATGAAAATCGACTTCTGTAAATGGAACACAAGTTGTGCAATGTGTGAAGTAAAGTATTTATTTGTGCAGTGCAGATCCCCTGCATCACCTGCAAAAACATGACAGGTGAGTATAGATGAGAAAAGATATTTAGAAAGGAGCTGGGTACGTTAATTCAACAAAAGTAGTTTTTTCTGTGTTAATTGTTATTCTCCCATCAGACGTGTTTATCAGAATTTCCCCTTGTCTTCTAATTTCATTTCGTTAAACAATTATGTAAGGAAATGTCCAATTTTTTCACTTTTGTTAAATGCAGGATGGGGATTACACATTAAAATGTCCTCTCAAGATGACGCACCTCAGTATAACACCACCACTAAATACTTACTGACTATTAGTTTAATCAACTCATCTATAAACACAAACCTGAGGTAAATACATGTGTTAACAGTGCATTGCTGGGGCTGCGGCTGCTGTCCGCTCTGATAAAAATCAGCATAGAAAACCACCAGCCAATGTATTATTTATGCTTCAGCTATGTTCTGTGTCCATAGAAAATAATGCTCTCTCATAGCCTATGAGATGCTCCGGTTGTGTATTATGTTTGTGAGCGAGCACACACCAAGCGTAAAAGTGTATTTTTGTGGTTTTCAAAATAATGTGGAAAGGGTATGGTAAAAAAACAAAACTATATCATATCGCATTATTGAAATTTCATTAATGGTAATTTAACAAAGTTTTAAGCTTTTAAGCTAGATAGCTGCTGAAGACCTGCCACATCTTTTTATCCCCAAGCTAACGGCAGTAAGACAGAACCTCATTCAATGCTGCGGTACAAGAAAGAAAAACATCGTCATGCAGTAAAATGACTGCTGACAGCGAGGAAGGCAGAAAAAATGACACACAAAACTGTTCCTGTCAAGTTTGCAGATTTCCCTTCAGAATTCAGAACCAATGGAATCATTTAAAATGTTTTTCACAGCTTGTTATTTCAGCAAACAAAATGTGGTCAAGTTAATAGGGGTCAATTAAGCCATATTAAACACGGCAGCCAATTTTTCCACAATCAGATCAGCTTGCTCACTGAATACGGCAAAAAATGCACATGCACACATGCTCTACATAAGTAAATCTCATCATGGTTTGGTTGCAACAGAAAAATATTATACATCTAAATCATTGTGGGTTCAACGGTAGTTCTCTATTTTGACCTTTTGACCCAGAATCTGAAATTTCCATTTGCATATCGTATAAAATTAATGAGAATAAAAAGTCAACAGTCCATAACACGATCTCATGTAATGAGCTGTTTCATAATTTAGTCAGTTCTATTTTTATGTGTCCACAGTTCTGGAGGCAAGGGGCATGCTGGAAGAGTGCCAGGGGGCATGTGACTCTTATGTTAAGGTATGTGCAGAGAGAAACAGCTCATGTGGACTCTGTAAGACAATGTTGGAAACTAGATTCCCTGTAATTTTGTCTCAACTGTGTTCTCCAGGTTGGCATGTCCCCAGACAGTGATCCTACAGACAGACAGAAGACTCAGATGGTCCCTCACTGTAGGAACCCCATCTTCCTACAAACCTTTTACTTGTAAGGATTTAGTTTCTATAGCCATTAATCATAGCTCAAATGTGTTATCAACCATGCTCATCTTTGCTTTAGATATATGGTTTCTGACTTCAAGCTTTTTTCCAGGAACGTGAAATGAGTTTGCCTTTTGCATATGAACAACGCAGCAGGAGATTGTCTGGGTCGGACTCGTTCACATCACATCAGAATGTTCCTGCCAGGGTGGGGGTGCCTGGGTAGAGCATGCAGGAGGCAGAATATAACAAGTTTCTTTGTGGAAAGTGTTTAAGTTTACAGAGCAGCAACACTGGCATCAACCCTTATCAACAAAACCCCTCAAATATCATCTTTCCAAATTGACATCTTCGTCTGCCTTCTTTTCATGCTGAGATAATTGTATTCTTCCAGTTTGTTCCCGTTGTTTGTTAGAAACATCCAAATGGCAACTCGCCTGCTGTGAGTTTACCCACTCGCTTGCTAGGAGGTGAAGTCACAGAAAATATCCACAGCAACTGACATTTGCCTCATCGCATGCAAAAATGTGCATCTCTGAAAGCAGCTTCAGTTGTTCGCTCTCAAGGGGCATTGGTGGCAGGTAAATGTTTATGCAACGTTTCAGTCGGAGCAGTTCATGTAACTCAAGAGTTACAAATATTCTTTAAAGGTTTGTCCAGACTAAAAGAATTGTCTTTAGAGCCATACCACCACAGTATGTCCTCTCCTCTGTGTACAATCCATTTGAAAGAGATTCATAAAGTCTAAAGATAAACACAAAGTTTTGGTTGGGTAGAGCAAACTAATGCTGACATGTCGGCAGTGCGAATGAAAATATGTCTTGTATTCTGCTTAGAGACAAAGAGGAGCTGACTTCTTCTGTGCTTTGTTTACAGTGTTGTCAGTGAGGGGGACCTTCATAAGAGACTGCTCTTCACAATGTGGAACTCTGACTCCACAACGAGGTACCTGCTGGTGATCACGTGACTCATGATAATATTGACGTTTTTGGGAGTTTTTCCTTCACACTCTCATTTGAATTGTTTGTTTCCAGGAAGCTGCGACCCGTTAGCGAGCGTAGTCACGAAGCTTCACTACTAGGTCAACAAAACACCATTTTATAATTGATGCTTCTGCATATCTCTGTGCGGCTGCCTCTGTGTATGTGTGTTTCTTTTCTATGCCTCTTTGTGAATCTGGCAGAGCGAAAGTGTTACTCTCGCCTCTCTGCCTCAGCAGACTTGCGCTGAAACAGGGTCATTGCTGGGGATGGAGGACATATGGTCGAATGAGTCACAAATTTCTTGTGCAATGTTGTGTTGAGGGGACAGAGGAAAAGTATCACTATGTGCCACAAATACTAAACAACAGGAAATCTCTTAACGTGACAAGAATCTCTTTGAGCCCATCGACTTTCTTCAAATGTTTTCTGCTGTTTTTAGTTGCGTTAAAACAGATACCACATACATCATGGATTTGAAATGACGTATGCAGTTTCACTGTATAGAGTGAAATGCTTGGTTAGGTTGATGATTATAAAGATAAAGATAAAGACCTTTTTGGGACAGTTCCTGGGACACAGATTAAGAGCGATTTTCTCATCTTTGGAACGCAATTAAGCCTCATTTACACCAAATGGCTGCTGCTGTTAATTTGGAGAATCCAGTAGGACAAGTAATAAAATAATAAAGCCATATTATAGTATGTTTGTCAGATACAGTATATTGTCTTTAATCTGTAATAGATTTAGAATTAACTCCAAGACCCTAGGATGGAGGACAGACTCAGAATCTAAGTTATGGTTCACGCTAATGTATTTAACAGACATGCATGTGCTTCAAATCCACACAAGGACCCTGTGTTGAATTGAAAATTATATATATCCTCATCGCACTTGTAAACTCTGAAACTCTTATACCTCTGTGAGCAAAGGGAGTGTAAGGAATGGAAAGCAGGAATTCTTATGTGATGAATGCAATTTAAAGGGCAGAGGCCCCCCGAACGTCAGCTCTCAGATAAAACAGGCAGGCCTGTTGCAAGAGCTAATTTAATGGTTTGGTGGAGACACAGGTATTGCAAGGATTTTGGCTCTGTAGACAAGGTTTTTTAATGTTAATGGGCTGTGCATCGTGCCCCACGCAGTACAAGATGTTAAGATGTACAAGACGTCTTATCAGCACGAAACATTCCAGTGCAGAAACGGCTCATGTAGCACAAGGAGGAAAACAAAAAAAGACCTTGTGGGAGATTCATTGTGCAGCAACTCGGACAAGACTATTCGTGTTTCTCTTCTGCGAACATGGTCAAATGTGGTTCGTGGAAAGCACAACGGACCAGTGGTCGCTGCAGGAGTAAACTTTACTGAAGCAATTTTTTTTACACATAAAGCTCAGCCTGAAATGTCATTAAAAGGTGCTTATTCGCTGAGTGCTGTGGAGAAGTTGTGGAAAGCAGTGCCTCCTCAGCAAATCCTCTCTAAGCACCACAGAACATTAGCCAAAGTTACTGCTGTAGCCAAACCCAGTTGATCCGTCCATGAATGTGAGTGCTCCTGTAATATACTTACACAATGACACAACGTGCTGCAGGGTAAAACAAAAGATCTACACTTAATTGTTCACAAATCCAATCAGGGTGTTTTTATTATTCCTCCACACACAAAAACTATTGCTCGTGTAAATGCACAACGGTGAAATGAGAAGATGGATCATAGGAGCGGCGTTAAATCACACCGCAGTATTGTTCATGTTGTGTATGTGCACGTTGGTCCTGTACTTCTGCTTCCACTCCTCAGAATTGTTTATCTGCAGCTGTGTCACTCAAGGCTTCACAGAGCTCGATCACTGTTTCACTGTGTAACTCTACTATTTGTAACAAAAAACTTTTACCTTCACCAAGGGAGATAAGTTTTCGACCTTGTCCATTTGTTGGTTGGTTGGTTTGTATGTTTCTAAGCAGAATTATGCAAAACCACAGAAAGGATTTCTGCAAAACACGGTGAAAGGAAGGATGTGTCATTGGCCAAGAAAGCACCCATACAATTTTGGTGTGTTCTGTTTTTACTTTATGAGATTTTCAGAGAATAACTTGTGTATCTTGATGGGAAAAAAACTCATGTATTTAGGTGACTGATATTTATGACTGTGTTCAATTTGGTGCAGATCCAAATAAAAATCCAGATATAGCAGATTTAAATGTGGTTTCCTAAGGGGACTGTTGGGCCTTGGCGGTATGTGCTCCACTGAGTGCTATTTTAGTTTTGTTATTTCATTCATTTCCACCAATAGCTTCACAATTTGTTCTTGGGCATAGAGGAGTGCAGCGCTGTAGACTTTAAATGTTTAGTCTAAGTAATGGAATAAAGTTCTGTATATTAGGATTTGGGTATTGAGTTACTATTTGTCGACAGGATCTTGGTATTTTAATGGCATATGCATTCTTGCCACACTATTCTTTTATTGAACCGCTTGTCTTCCTGCCTAGTAATCCACGGAGGAAAATACACTGGGCTCATGTGACATGCATATAATTGTCAGCCGCCTCTTCTGGTGAAAAAGTTTGGGAGAACTGAATCTGGATGTAAATTGTGTTCGAATGGGCGACATTCTCCTCGACATTCTTTCAGTGCAGCAGATATTTTTCGGTCACTGGCTCATCTGACCGAGGAGATGGCAGGAAACATTCAGGTGCTTATTCACGCTGGGGGCTAGTTTGCCCTCAACACAGCATCTGCAGCTGCATTAGTCCAGCACAGCTGGGAGGTTGTCGAGAGCTGTTTTTCTCATGTACACATAATTAAACATATCCCGACTCTCTCCACCACCACCACCACACACACATGCCCATAAATCAAATAATTAATTAGATCAATATCACTGTTGTTGTGTTATTCATGACAAATGTTTCCCAAGTTTCACATTTTCTGTTTCTTACAGCTCTTTATCATGTTTTGTCCTTTGTTATGGTTTATTATGCTTCTAACAACACCCATGGGATAAATGTTTACATTTCTTTTACGTCATAATAAAAATGTATTTTATCTGAGAATAGATTTCATATGTCAAAAGATGAAAAACATTATTTTACAACATTGATTAGTTTAACTTTGCTCTTTTTGGTCTATTTGAGTAAATTAATTTGTGTCATAGAAGACATTTCAAATGTCAGACCTGAATTAGATGACACATCGGCTTTATTTAGGGATATTCATTTATTTCTATTCTCTCTCCGTCTGTCTGTGTATCAAAAGGATGAGTGCACTGCTGGGTTGCTTGAGCTTCGGTGTCCGTTCCCTCATGGACAGAGACGAGGTGAGTTTGAACACAGATATAACAGATATATAAAGACTGTCGGCAACCGTGTTCTCAGCTCGGTCTTTCTAACGTTACCAGTTCTCCTGCGTGTGTCCGTCCATTAGACCGTGACTCTGACAGTTTACTTCAGTGTGAATGAATTCCAGTGACCTCAATAGCTGAGAAGAAACACTTTTGGGTTACCAGTGTTACCGCACAGGAACATTGCCGGCAGATACTGGAGTGAAACACACTTTGAGTCATTCTCTCCTCTGAAATGTCATGGGTCACACACGAACACCGAATGCCTTTTTGTGATTTAAGATTTGTGAATGTCTTTATTAAAATAAAATGACACTCGGTAGCATTACACAATCTCTGAAATTCAACTGAGCTGCACCAAATTGAATCATTGATATCATTCCTCTAAATGTCAGATATTTTTCTATTCTATCCATTAGAATAATTAAAAAAAGAATCTCATCTGTCCCAACATAACAAAAACACAACCTCGTTGGTGGAGGCAATACAATAAAAGTTAGATTTTAAAATTACAGTGCTGGTGCAAAAATGCATCATGTTGAACAGAGAATGTTGCACTTTTGTACAGAACTCTGCGGTGTGATTTTACAATCAAATAAAATTCCCCTTAAAGGCAGTGTATTTCATGTCCTAAATCTGAACAAGCAGGGCATCATAAAAGCCTAAAGCTGATTTCTTTTGTCAGTCTCAGTTTGCGGTGTCTAAAAGTGTTCTCATCACACTTTGAGTGTAACTGCTGCTTTGGCCTTTGTGCTTACTGGCTGAACGCTGTCTCGTCTCACTGACACTGGAACTGGTTGAAAGCTGAGAGTAAACTCTTGGCAGGATGAAGCGTTTGATATTCAGACTGACTTTACTGACCAGTGGGTGTGGAAGAGTTGACACCACTTCTTCCCACGCACCTACATCATGATATAGAGGAACACTTAGCTCTCATTCCGTCTCCCCAAACTGTCCCGGGTGAGAGGGACAGGAGGGAGACAGGGAGACGAGGAGCTCAGCGTTGTGTGAAGTAAATGCACATATCTGCTTTTCTTAGCTCTTTGTCTTCACTCTTTAATTATTGAACCATAATTCATCCATTTCCATCCTTCCTTCCTTCCTTCCTTCCGTGCTTGAGTATTGTTTTTCCCTGCACTGTGCTACATGATCGCATTTTACAAATGAAGCCCACATTTTAGTGCTTGGTGCAGTAATCACTGCAAATGGTATTTAATGCTTCAGCACTTGTGTGTTAATCCATTATTCAGCATTTGCTTTTCTCTTCTTTTGAGACAATAAACTTTGTTTGTTAAAGCTTAATTAAAGCATGGCAAATATACCTGGTTCTGCCTTATATAAACACTTCTTATCATATTAGTTGGCATCCTTTTTCATGTCCTGATAGCCATCAATAAATAAAGTTGTCGAAAAAAACTCCAGTGTCTGTGGCCCTTGCAGGACTGTGATAAACACTATCCGTCTTTCACTGACTGACTTGCCTGCTTGGGCGCACCATGCCTGTGCACTCACTGCATGACTGGAGTCTTTAGCTGGAGAGATGCACACTGCTGAAGCACAGATGATACCAGAAGTTAGCAAGCAAGTCACAGCAGTGGCAGAGCAGGGCTGATGGGAGGGGATTACATGTATCAGTTGTGTTTAGTCCCTGCTATTGCTTGCTTTTCCAAGGTCACCAACCCTGGCTTCAAGCAGGGAACCTTTGTAATGTGGTTATGGCACTAATATAAAAACCTCTTTTACCCATTATTTGTGGGCCTCATGTGTTTGTGTACTTGCAGGATCAGTTGTTGAAGTTTGCTGCCCCTTCACCAGTCCAGTACTTTTCAGTCCGCTCTAATGAACCCTAAAATCTAAGCACTTTGTGAAGTAGATAAGCTGTTTGAATGAGAGACTTGAACGAGAATTAGTTTGTCTTTCACATATGAAGGATACAGCAGGAGATTGTCTGGGTCAGATGAGTTCACAACAACAGGAACATTAATGGAACCTTCATGCGAGGGGTGAAACCTGAAGGAGGCAGGACATGAAGGATAAATTGCACTGCTGAAATCACAGTATTTTTGTGAACAGCACATTGACACTTTGTCACCGAAAGCTTATGAATCTCGTCTTTCCAAGTTGAAATCTTCGTCTGCATCGTGTATGGCTTCTCTTTTTCATTCTGAGATATTTGTATTCTTCGTAACGCCAAAATTTCCAGAATATGTCTGAACTTCAGAGCATGTCTTAAAACAGCTTTTTAAGTATGTTTCTTTGTCTCAGGCTTCAAAGAAAGCACAGAGCCACATTCCTTGTTAGTTTGAATGACACAGAAAATGGTGTCTGCTTTCGGTTAATGATTGTGGTTGTTTTGTTTCTCAGACTGAGAAGTCAACATAAAACTTAATTTGCTGTCAAGAAAGTAAAACTGGAAAAGCATGAACACAGCTGCACATTTACAGAACCCCTTGTTCTCTCTTTAACCGACTGCACAGGCGTCCACATCAAGCGAGGAAAACAAACAAAGGAAGGAAATTATATTTGAGTCAGGCTTATTGTTCTCTTCATCTCATCCCAATTCATATTTATTTAACTTGATATGCTAATGAGGAAGATTTAGCTTTGAATCACTGGAGTTAAGTATCTACGTCCATTATTCTCCTCTGTTGTTCTTTTTCGTTCATCCCTTACACACCCATACATTCCTGGCTCTTGATTTTCAGGGGAGCTTTATGAGCCTCTACTTTCTTTTTCTACCAGGCTCGTTCGTCTGTCACATCTTGTTGTTTGTTTGCACCCGTGTGTCACTTCGCGATTTTGTACCTCTTCCTCATTCCCTGCTTTCTCCCTTCTCTCGTCTGTCTCCTGCCCGACTAACAGCTCTGTTGGCCCCATTCTTTCCCCTCTTTGTCACATGTGCAGGGTAATATTGAACGATGGCTTAAATCCCTCCCTGACTTTCAGGACATATGCCCTCCCCTTCCCTTCCCCCTTCTTCTATACAAGTCCCCTGCCCGTCCTCCCCCCTTGTCCCACTGCCTGCAGATATCTGTCCACTCAGATAAGATGCTTTTAAAATGGAGATTATTGTTGCTGTCCATGGCATCACATTATTCATTGTAAAAGAGGAGGCTGGCTGTGTGTGTGTGCGTGTGTGTGCTGTGATAAATGTGTAGCACAGAGTAAAATGATGGAAGAGCTTATGATGGTGTTTTCATGTTCTTGTTTGCAAGACTGTGTCCACATCATCAGGATTACACATCAGACTCCCTCTGTCACAGCTTTATGTAACACACGTACAGTAGTCTGATATACACACACACACACACACACACACACACACACACACACACACACACACACCATCTGGCCCACAAGGCAGAAGTGCAGAAGCGGGGGCATCAGCTGCTGGAATAAGCCAAAGCATTGTATGTGGTGTGTGTCTGTCGTCTGTGTTCATTGCTCACAGACCTGGAGGAGCAAGCATTTTGTGTGTATGTGCGTGTGTGTGTTTATGCACTCACATAGAAGATTCATTTTAAATGCAGCACTCATTAGGTTGAATCCCCAAGCTTAAAGTCAGCACTCGTGCATCATCACACACACAAGCACTCTTGCATATAGACATTCTTTGTGTGTGTGTTTGCTGTAGGAAGTTCAAGGATGGTACTACCTACTGAGGGAAGAGCTGGGGAGGAAGAAGCATCTTAAAGTGCCCACACAACACAACGACCACACCACCGGTAAGTTAACTTGATAATTATTTATTAATCTGTCTTTGAGGCTGGAACACTGATGTTTAGGACTGAGCATCAAACCTTTGTTGTTCTCCAATTAAATATTTCTCTGATATTCCTCTTTAAATCAAGAAAGATCTAACTTCTTATTTTTTATTCAAACTATGTTTATACAAATTTCAGCTCGACACAACTTGTGAGAAAATGTATACAGCTTGTAGTAACAGTACCCATGTCTGTGTGCGCAAGGGGCTTCAGGCTCTCTGCTCCCAAGTCTTTATCAGCCTTTGGGTCGGGAGGTGGGGGCGACTGGCGAAGTGAGGGATTAAGAGAGGGAAAGAAAGAAGGATTGGAGAGCGAATGAGGGAAAGACGGAGAGAGTGGGAGGGAGGGGTCTGGATGAAAGTGACGCGTCACAGTATTCAGAGAGAGAGAGGGGGAGAGAGAGAGTCAGAGCTCTCCTATACCGTTTGCTGCTAGATAAACGGTATCACACACCCACCCATCTCACACACACACCCATCTCACACACACACACACACACACACCCATACACTCATTCAGAAACATTTGTTTGGAAATTTCTTGTTCTCCTCTCTGCCCTCGGAGCGCTCCTTCTACTTATGTTTGCACTCACTCGTAGTTTCACATGGGTTGTGGTGGTGTGTGTGTGTTGGAGTTATGCTACTCAGTGCCAGCATTAAGGGCAGCCTAGACTAGGTGAGTACTATATTTGTGTTATTATTCTTGACTTTATATCAAATGCACACATGGATATTTTGTAAGTTGCACATTGCATCGCAAAGCAAGGCAGCAAATTAGCAGCACGGACCGTTTTTTTATTTTTATTTTGCTTTAGCTGTTTTGTCTGATGCACTCTCTCCCTCCACTTCGCTTCTTTTTCTTTACTCCTCTCATTGCTTGTTTCCTCCATCCATGCATTTCTCTTTTGTGTGTTTTTATTGTTGCTGACATTACTTTCAATTCTCCCTTTGTTACTCTCTGCATGCGCCGCTAATCTGTCAATTCTCATCCAATTTTCTCTCACTGAGCTAAATTGGTCACAATTGCTTTCTTTGGAAGACTAATTTAAGGAGCTTAGCTTACCCACTCGGTGGATTACTTACAGTATGACCCCACCTTTTGTGCACAGGACATAAACGTTGCACATCAGCACATCCACCTATATTCCCACATGGACTTTTTCACGCTTAGTACCTTGAATTTTCATTTGGTTATTTGTGTCGTTCTGGATTTCAAAAATAGCGTTGATACCATAACTCTACCTTTTCCATCCCAATTTACACTGCATGGCTGAACTAGGCTAATCTACCTCATGCAACTTTAAAATTAGTTTTATGCATCTGTGGGTGGAACTGGGACAAGGGTATCAGACTGGGCAAGGCTCAGCCAGCAGGAAACCATTACAAGGCTTACATCTGGGAATCCTGACTAATACTTAATGGTAACACAGGCAAGTAATTCTTTTTAGCTTGTGGGATGAGAAGCTGCAGGGTGTTAAACTATAATACTAGAAACAATATTCAGAAGGTGCAGGAAAGTAACTTTGAAGTTAATGTCAGAGGATGTAAAGGCAATAAAAGAATGAAACCCTGCGTGCTTAGCAGTATTAATGGATGCAGAATATTTTAATCTTACCTAGTGGCAATACTGCCCCACTACTGTCTCCTCTGATCCATGTGTGTGGGTTTGTGTGTGTGAGAGGGGGGTGCATACTTGTGCATGCACTTCCGTGTAGCCAGCTGGCAGAATGTAGGCCATGGACTGCTGCACCATGACATGCGCTAACACGGAAATTAACAAAATCTCATTCATTAGAATATCACTCAGTGTGTGTCCTTCCTCTATTCATCTCTCTCTCTTTCTTTGACACTCAGTTGAATTTATGTTTGTCTCTTTGCCTCCGATTCTAAATATCCTTGAGCTTTTTCTCTGTCTCCTCCAATTCATGCTCCTCCCCTCCCTCACCTGTAGTTTTATTCATGGGCCACTTTGTGTTTTCTCAGACATCACAGTTTGTTAGTCACGCTGACATCTCGCACACTTGTTTGTCCTCAGTCCAACTATTATGTACCCAGGTATTCTGGCAGGAAGCAAAAACACATTTACTAAGCCGTTCAATGTGACATTAACTTCCACCCAAGAGCATGATTTTATTCACAGGAAAGTGAAAAGAAACAGGTAGTCGGGTTGTACTGGAAGCTTGGCAGGCTCAACATGTTCTTGCAATGCTTTGGATTCAAGGAAGTGTCATCACACCTCAAAGCCATAGCAGCATCTTTAACATCCTTCAGTTTTTCAGTGTTTTAGTGTAATGCAGCTGAGACACAAAAATATCTACTCTGTGTTTACTATGTGTTTTGGTTTCTCCATAAATGAGTAAACATCTCAGTGGTGAATTTCCAAAAATATTAATACCGAAAAGACAATTATGGTTTTTATCCCCCAATAAGAAATAGGGAGAAATAGGTCAATGGTCTGTCCATACGTCTGTTTATCTACCATCAGTTTGCTTCTGCAGCAGAGATTGAACACCATTTGGAACTCTGTCATTAAACTTCACAGTCATGTTTTTCAGCTTGTATATTCGTGGCTTTTTGTTATTTTGGGATTCACTGGTGAAATGTTATGACCTTAAGTAACTGAAAGCATCAAGTTATCTGCATGCATATGTCGTCTTCTGATGACTCTTGTTTGAGTCAGTTGAACATAGAGTTTTATTAAAAAGTCCCTCTAACCTTTGAGCTGCCAGTGGTGAGCACAACATCAGGGGACTGTTGCGAGGTGGATACTATCGACCAACTTTTTATAATTTAATGTCAGACTCGTTATATTTGTGGCCATGCTCAGGGGGAGCTGTGGTTGGATGTATGTTTGTAATTCTGTTGGTTTATGTGTTTGTTCCTTTTCTTTGCAGCACCCTGGGGAATTATGGTATTCACTGTTTGGGTTGGCAATATTTTGTGTGGCAATATTTTTTGTAATCTATAAACTTTCCCCGAATGGGTAAGACAGTCAATGTAATGAAATGAACCCAATAATAGAAACCAGTAGTATTTTGTAGATGCAAATGATTTAAAAAAAATAATTTGCTTCAAGTATTCACTGTCAAATTCAGTCAAAGAAAATATTCCCTTAATTGTAGGCACACAAATAGTGAGGAATATGGTTTAGTGTTAGGTTTGTAAATGTACTGTTGGAGTGACATGAATCCATTTTGTTTCTGGTTAACCTCTGATTTGTTCACGATTATATTAAATTAACTTCAGCTAAAATTTCGAGCGTCGCTCACTGTCAACAAACATCTAGTGAATGATTTGAGTCTAACATGAGTCAGTTAAAAATAAAGTACTCTGTGTTCAATTTCCAGTTTCCATTGAATCGTTGCAGTATCAAACTGCTACAGTTCCTATCCAGAGGGTATGTAATTATTTTGCAGTGGGGAAATATATACAAAGTATGTGTTTTGCCTGTATCATTGCATTTAAGAGAGGATACAATATAAAATAGTTCTGAAAAATTAGGCTGAAGTAACAGCTGTTTAAATATGACAGCTGCACTGTCACAATCCTACAAAACCATATCCTATTTGAAAGAAAGTCTAACTTTTATATGCAAATATCATCCAATGGGGAAAAAATTAATAAAAAAAAGGTTTCACTGGTCTGCTGAATGGATCTATGTTAATGTGCACCAACTCTGACCAGAGGTGCACTATTTGGATCAGTATGTCGCACTAATCCCTCAGTCAGAGAGCTGTGCCAGTTCAAAGTCAGGGTAGTGCCAAGCCAAAATCCCTGAAGGCAGAATTATGTTGGACGAGGAAGTCGGTGGCACATCTACACATGATGCAGCATCATCCTGACCTACTGGGAGGGAAGGAAACATGGTGACTTGGGGCATACATTATGCAAAAGTCTCTTCTGGTCAACTTACAAGTTTTACTTGTGTTGTCAAGTCTGATACAGCTCATTCCTCTATTGTTAAAAAACATAGATGGTATAAGAGATGTAGACTTTGGGACTGTGTAAAGGACCGCAGCCTGTATTCTCTCAAATGACCAGCAGAGGCTGACTCCACAGGAAGTCACTTAATTTTTTAACGTTTTTATAGAAAGTTTATAGTTTCAAACGCTACTCTTCTTCAATACAGCATGATATTAATTATGTGAATGACGGTCATAATTAGAGCAAAATGGACGATAAAGAACAGTAGCCTATTGAGGCGTGGATACCATGTGATTGACGGTACGATTCAATGGGTGCAGGTCGCAGGTATAGGTGGGTGTGCGGTGTCCTCGAGCTCTGTCAGACTCAAATGTGGTTTCTGCTGGTTTTAAAAATCAAAAATGGTGCTGGCCGTACTGGAGTTTTCAAAACGGCAGCTCCCAAACCAAACCAGACATGTCACAGTTGCATGGTCACGTTGCTTCATTACGATGAACATGAGTGTTTTGATCTAATCCCACATAGACCCTGCTGCTGTAAATATTCACTAGGACATCAAACAAAGCACCTAACAAATAAAGTACGTACTCTTGTTGAAGTAAAATTTGAAAAAAAATGCAGCACTCAGCAGTTTTTTTTTTCTATTACCAAAAAATGTTTTGCCACCAAAGATCTTCAGGAGGATTAGAGGGGTTTAGGCTGCGAGCTACTGAGAAGCTTCTGAAGTAAAAATATACTGATAGATGGACTAATGCAATTCTATTTTCTTTGACAAAGCAAAATGACATTTCAGAGAAAATATACTTTTTCTACAGATTGCTGGAAGTCGTATTTCTTTTTTACTCTCTAGTACCATTGTGACTCAGGCCGCCTGACTTTCCTCCTGCCTCGACAACTAAAATCTGAGGAGCGCTGACAGCTAATTACAATGTAGGGCAATAAAAGGGCTGCCATCTTAACTTTGCTAAACATGCGTTGAAAGGCAGGAACAGAGAGACTGTGCGTGAGTGGCAGCCAAACAACATTTCTGTTAAAAGG